GTGCTGTGCAGCCCAGCCCGCACACCGATTGTAAATTGCTGCATTTAGTCAGTTATTAACTATACATAAATATTCATTGAATACTTGTTCTCTGGCATCTAAACTATGCGATTTATGTTCCACGGTTTGCAAAGATTAGCATTCTAGTACTTACTTACTTATTTATTTAAATTGGGACTTTAAACGATGATTGCCTCATTAGAAAGTTTTCATTTTTTTTATTTCTTTCAAGAATTGCATTCCATAAGATTCCTGATTCCTGTAGAAAGATCATTAGCGTTGATTTGGAGTTTGCTGAAATACATCTACAAACAGGTGTAGAACTTTTCTTATTTATATTTTATCTACACTTTGGTTGGCTCTCAAAGAGTTCTCATCCATCAACGCTTATGTACATCAACACAAACGTCTTCTATATCTAAACTGCATCACATTTTAAATTAATGGCGTCACTAACACAAACCTAATATGTATAATCTGAGTCATCAGCACCTCCCATATTACCTTTTATGTTTTAAAATAAAAACACATAAAGACACGTTATGAATTCCAGCGCAAACGGAAACTTAGTATGGAGTTATTGTTCTTTAAGACTCGATTCTCTACCTCAAAGAATATAATGAAGCTAATTTTTTGTTTAAGGTTTAAAATAATGTAATTTATAATTATCTAAGTTTTAAATCCCTTGGCAAAACTTATTAATTTAGCAAAAATAACTGACGTTTGTTCGTAAAATTTTAACCGCAACCTCGAATACAATCAGCTAAGAATTCAATTATTTATAAACTAGTTACTCATCTGAATATTAATTTAATTAACGAAACATCTAAAGAACATCTGTCAGTGTTCGCTTTACAGTTTTGTGTTACACTCATTAGTCAAACAGTGCCAACGAAACTGTTATGAAAGTGCTCCACATAAGTTTTGGCGTTAGAAGCTAAATCTAATTATAAATTTTGGCCACTGCAAAGTTATGATGAACCCAATGACGGCGGTCCGACCAAAGATTGCTTTTTAGAGCAGAAAATCGTCAATTGTATGTGTGTGAAGGGATAATTCATTCTAATTTAAGCATAAGTACGTTCCATGTAGGTCCGTATATGCAAACTAACAAAAATAGTAACGGATAGCCCAAGATAGAACCCCGAGGAACTCCATTAAAAGACAAACAATTAACAGATAATGTATGAAGAAATATTCAAACCATCAACATATTATGCTAATAAAATAATTGTGGTAACGAATACGCATATAAGTTATAAAACAGTCTTGTGTGAATACAAAGCTTTGTTTAAATAATAATTCTTTACCTTCCAAGCCAAAACTGTTGCTTCTCACGATATTTGAGTACTGTATCGTATTACTTGTGTAAGAAGATATCGTTTAAAAGTGCATCACCAGTTGGGTAGTCATCCGATAGAGTAGTGTAATTTTAACTTAGTTTTAAAATTTGCCCTTACGTACTTAAGTCTGTAACAGAAAAAAACGTTTCGAGAACCTTAATAACTGCGTCGTTAAACTCGAGGTTACATCACATACGTATATCATTCACAAAAGCCTTGCGAATAATTTCCGGGAAACTTGCTGGATTATTGAGCAAACAAAAAGCGAATCTTAATTTCCATGTACCAAAAAGCGGTATTTGCGTTGCACATGCGTCGACAATGACCCGGCCGGCTGGCGAGACGTACTGGCACCGTCAGTTGTTTTGGACAAGTCGGCCAATGCGCGCGCGCTGCCGTCAAAGTCTTTCACGGGGTCTTGCCTTCGAAAATCACGTTCAATAAGACGCGCCAAAATATTCGTAACTGTGCCTTGAACATTTGGGATTTAAACCTTCGTATTATAACCGTCGTGCAGTTTTGTGTGACTTTATTTGTTACTTTAATTAAAACATCTACATTTTATAAATTTCAATTAATTTATCTCATTGCAAATACATCTCAATGGGTTCGGTGTACAAATAATTGTTTCTATTATTGTTAGTGTGTTGTTAATTAATTAATTCCAATTTACACAATTTGTTTTCGAGGTGAATTTTGTTATTGATTGCATGAAAACCGTGTTCTTCATTATCGTTTGCTATCAGACTTATCTTTGCTATCTTTGGTGCTGACCTTGTAATCTGTTATAGGTTAACGTTACATTCTTGTAGCGTTTCGTATCATATTATAGATTGTTTTCTACTTTCGTCTAGTGTTTTAATCAGGCAGTCTTTGTAATGTAAATTTTTATTCATACCGACACTTTCGCCCCTTAAACCCACGTTTCTATTTCTGTTAAACTTTAATTATTCTTTGTGTACGCTAAAGGCATGTAAACATTCAAATTCTCAATGTTCACGTAATTTGTATTCAATGCGAGTTGAGTAGTTCAATTTGGCCGCATATTTGTGTGTCGTTTTGTTGATAGTATAATTGTGATGGATTCGTCCTATATTGCCCACACCATTGCCTTTTATTGACGTTTATTAAGCCACCGTTGACAAGATTGACGTATCATTACAATTCTAACGTATGAGTGCAATACAGTTTATTTCATCTTCCTGTTTGATACATGTATTTTAACTATTTGAATTTAGTAGCTTCCATCCTCAAAGTTAGCTCAATTTAAATAATTTCAATGAATTAGCGTCCGCTGTTTTTGCTCCATTCCACATTAGGCCGGGACAAGTTAACTTATTTGGCGCAAACTCTGAGGGACGACAAATTTATTGCGTACATTGAGGCTGTTAGATGGAATCTTGTTTGACGCTGCCCAGTTTTAAAGTCAATATTTTTCCTGTTTTGTGCAGTAAATATTACTTGTAACTATATAACCACTTTATCATTTTATTTTTGTCTGGAGCGTACTTTTTAGTTTTCCAAATGAATCAAACTAACTCTCGAATAGTTTGATCGTATATTTGTTATCATTTTGTTTAGTAATTTTATTGCTAGTGGTTCTGATTGAACAGGTGGTTTTATTTGTATTGTTATATTCCTCACTTTTATATCTATTATGTAGGTGCTGTTGTCGCCAGTTTGTAGTAGTATGCTGTCAATCTCCTTCAAGTTATTATAAGGTTAAATCATTTCTTTATTTGGGTGTGTCGTTGTCTTGGGTCAAGGATTCTGCCAAGTCCGTAGTACCGGCTACCACGAGCTTATGTTATAGACATTTTTCTTTATTGGTGATGCGTCATTGTTGCTGCTACTTGTACTTGTAGTATACAATGTTTACACTCGTTCTAGGACCTGCGCATGAGTCACACGTGCCGTGTCCGCTGCCAGATGATAATGACGACTGATCACAGTGATCAGTTCGATTCCAACCGCCGCAGCAGACACATTGTTTACCCAGTTTAACAATGTTTATATATTTTTTGTTATTCTTGTGATTTCCTACACAACAGTGACAATTGACCAAGTTTTATTGAACGATGTGCATTGCTCGATGTTAATGTAAACAATGTTCTACTACAGTGTGTGAAACATTATTGCTCAATTGGCTCCTCATTACAAATGGAGCGAGAAGCTTTCAAGGATTTTTAGTGCCGCTATCAATAACGTATACCGATCTCATTCTAGTCAGTGATTTTAAAAATAAATCGCAATGTTACTCGAAACACTCATTGGACTTGTTGTCCTTATTTACTTATTATGGAAGTACTTACTACCATCAAAATGTGAACAAGTTCAATATGATAAGCTAGAAAATATTCAGTCGACATTAAGTGAGACGCAATCTGATGATATTTCAAACAAAGATTGTAACGAAAATAAATATGAAACTTTTGACACCAAACATGAGATTCCTGAAATTCCCAAAGTCAAATCGAAACATGGAAATAAATATGTCAAAACTGAAGAGCTTATAACACCGAGTATTTTACTGAAACAACGTAGCGAAAAATTACTCGACGAAAACCCAGTCAGACGGGAGAGTCCGCCAAAAGAAAAACTTGCGGAATTTCTCGAGAAAACTATTTTGAGCGATGACAAAATACAGTCAATTATACAAAATTTGTCGTTAGATAAAAGTGAAATACTCATACATGAGGAACCTAAAAAAGTTCTTTACGCCACTTCTGAAGATATTGTGCCCCTCATTAAGAAAGAAGATGTTTCACTAAGTGTAAAGGCTGTGCAACAACAAAGTGTTATAGACGCTGTAGCCGATAGGATAAAAAGAATTAACGTAAACAATAGCATACAAGACATTGAACAACCTGCAGATGAACTTGTTGAAAATAAAACAGAAGAAAGTAAACCAGTTTTGAAGCGTCTGCAAAAGCAGCCAGGGTTTCCACAGGGTCTTAACTTTGGGTCGGTCATCGGAGAACTGAAAAATAAAACGAAGAACGCTAGCAATGGAGGTCTTAAACCCGTTTTCAAGAAGTTCGATGTCGATGCCGTGGACAATGTTCAGGCAGGTTTTTTTCTTAGTTGAGTAACGAAATACTAGTTTTATCGCCGGATACATACAACTTGATTGCTTAAATTAATCGATTCTACTACTTTTTGCATCCGCTACATTATTTCGATTGGTTAAGTTTGAGCATATATTAATTATTACTAAATTATAGCTATTTTCGTATATTTGGACGTTATTCCTTACGGTTAGTTTAGTCACGGCAACAGAAGCAGGCCTGTTAGCAGTAGGTTTTGCAATAAAAGTTATGGCTTACAAAGACATACTAGACTATATTATGTAAGATAGCGTGACAATAAATTATCAGTCCGTGAATGTAGATCAAATGCACATAATTATCCACATACGTAACAATAAAGTTTTCGATTCACAATGGAAGGAAGACACCATAATTGCAACTTTTCGCACTTTTTTCTCTACATCAATCTAATATCTTCATCAAAATTGTATTGTGAATATTAAACCCGTATACGTCTCATCTGATAAAGAGAATAATGTAGTTCTTATAATTATTTTGCTCTAAGGCAATTTATTGATAGTTAAAAAGATTGAACAAATATTTACGAAAGTATTTCTTTTCGTTGCAGGAATCTCTTAATTCAGTCGATGACAGGAAGAAAAGCATTGATGACAACGAACTGGGAACCACAAACATTCTAGCAGATAGAAGGAACAAATTGGAAACAGCTGCACAAGTAAGTAGCATAATGATATTGAAAGAAGTTCTTTTTAAAATTTATGTACACATAGATGTTTATCTACACATCACATTAGTTTAGGAGATATCATCAAACAGGAATTAAGTACCTATAAAAAGACAAAATATCATTTGCAGTCATTCCAAAATGCAGAGTCGTAGGTATGGAACTGTGTGGCTCAAAAAGTAACACTTCGATTAACAGAAACCATTAAATTCATTTAATTTATGATTCGAGATTGTAAGGTTTTGGAAAAAAATGGCAAGGATATACGAATAGCATGCTTAAAAATACTGCTGAATGTCTTTTATGAGTATATAATTACAAACTATCAATTTAATGACGTGTAAAACGTCGTGAGAAAACCCACACATTCAAAATATCAGACATGCTTGATGTCCTAAGAGAGGCAATAGGTCACTTGTTTTAACTAGCACAAGAATACGCAATACATAATAATATACACGTTAAAAGTAATACAAAAAGTCAAAGGGTCCCATACCATTCATCCGGAACTTTATCGTTCCATTATCCTGCCCGCCGATAATGTTCAATTCCCTCGTTAATTTTATTTTATGTTTGTTCTTTTAATATTTAGTAAACGCTTGTTCTTGCTGCTTCATATTTATTACACTCTTCCTCTTGACATTCTCTTTCTAGGTCATAAAGCGATGGCCACAAGTTTTTTTGCACAAACACGATTGCATTACTGTTCGCGATTGCACGAACTTTACCAGTAACTGCGTATTTTTTGCCAGTGTCGTCAACTATCATGTCCACGTCTATCATTACACCACCACTTTTATTTATTTGCTCATCAGGTAAAACGTATAAATCAACTTTCATTGCAGTCATAAATGCCGAAGTTCAGACCTTGTTTGCTGTTTAAACAATTCTCAGTTGCGTAAAATCGCGTTTACAACTTCCATCGAGTCGGTTGATATACGGAATGTGGTTTATAACAATTGCCTGACCTCTGGGCTTTTCCAATGGGCATTGATGTTAAACAGTTTTAATTTATCCTTTGCCTGCTAAGGATATTAAAAGATCAAGGGCTTAATGGTGACTGGGTAAGTGGGAGACATGTGCAGCAATGTTGTGCGCAAAGTGCTAATATTCAGAATTCTGAGTAACTGGCCACTGTGATTCATTGTTGATAAAGACCACTATGGTCGTTGTCCAATTAATTCTAGTTGGGTGACATATTGCGGTTGAACACAGTAATTTGTTTAGCAATAATTCGAAGTCATACTTATTGATTTAATCAATAAGTAAATATACATCTAATTATGTTTAGTATACGAATTGTATTACAAACAGATTCCCTTTATGAATACATTTAATTGGATATAACATTGTCAATTTGTTTATATTTATAACGAGGTGTGTTAATGTGTTTAATGTTTTGATTATTTAATAAATATGTTTGCATCGTTTGCGCAAAATAACACGTACCTACTTTTGGCAAGAGCTTTGCGTACATACATCATTAAGACTTTCTTGGAAGAATGTGATGCGCGCTTATTTTAATTCTGATTGTACAGAAGGAATCTCTTTGAGCAAAGTTATTCATTATAACTTATAAGTCGTGCAAAAATCTTATATACAGTAAATGTAATTACTAACCAGTTTATATCGCTTGGGTTTCTAACTGGCGCTAAAGATACACACAGCAAAGATACTTTGGAAATCGTCCTAATTAACACATTTACGGACAACCATGAATCTTACCACATACGTCAAGACCTTTAAGCGGTACTTTAACATCAATTTCTTTTCATCCTAGACAATCTGGATATAACTCAACCAAGACAGTATAAGCTTATACATATAGGTATACACAAAACAAATCTATCGTAGAAGTGTAATAATTCTTGTTCGTTTTCATAGACGGCGCTGATCGTTTACCATAAGGCTACCGTTATGCTTCTTTGTTCCCGTTACATCATCATCATCTGCCTAAAAGTGTCTACTGCTAAGCAAATATCTCTAAGAAAGGTTTGAGCATAAATCACAATGCATGCTCAAGGCGAATTGGCGATTTCAAACTCATATTTGAAATATAAGTATAATAAAAATAAGTCCATGTTTTCTCACGAACTCGCGCCCTCAAGAATGGGTAGCGCATTAACCTACAGACCACTACTGCATTTAATATGTTCCGACATTACATACTTTATTCTCTTTCCCTTCAATACAATCTCCTTTAACAGTCTTTGGGTAATAATATTCACTTATCCTCGTATTGTTTGTTTCAGGGCTGGCGCAAACGAGTTCCTCAGACCGACGCCTCTCTGTTCACCGTAGCTGGTCGATTAGAGAGGGACAAAGTAGTGTCAGCGACTCCACCTCTCACTCCGCCTCCCACAGCCGCGCCTGTGACCGCCTCGCCTGGAATACCACCGCCTAATACCTTTAAGTAAGTTTAACAATTTTCGTCATTTACCATTTCCAGTATTAAAAAAAAGTTGTTAAAGGATTTCTGAATGGCAGGCATACTGTCGTTTATGAATTAAAATCAAAAGTGCTAAAATCATCCTAACACAGTCCAGCTCTACTAACTTCACCATAATGGCTATATTCTTTAGTATATTCAAAAGTGTTTTATAGATTTTGATGTTAAAACATTACGTGTAAGGGTAAACATTTTTACCAGATTGTGAAGAAAGCCTTGCTTTTTGTTTAGCAACTGTCCAAGTTAAAACTGTGAATCATATCTGATTCATCAGAGGTGCAACTTAGAGCGGAGGTTTCTTATAACATTCTACCTCAATGTGTAATGTTAGTGGTTAAATAATCTTTTGTGAACCTGTTTATAAGGAATATGGAATGTTCTTTACCTACAAAATGACGAATAATTATGATCACATCTTAAATCATACATAAACAGATTCCTAGATATGTTTACACACAACAAGACATTCAATCCAATAACATAAGTACGTATATGTTTATATATACAATCATCGTATTACAATTTGTAACTTAATCTTCTCAGATCTCGTAAGCAAACTTCTCCCACTAATGGATTCGCTTCGGGTCCGCTCCGTTCAGCGTCGTGCGCCGTCGTGAGCGCGGCCGCCGTCGACCCGAAACCCAAAACTAACAGAATTGACAGAGAATCCTTCAAACGAAGCCATTCTGTCAGTGAAAGTATCAGTAGGGTGGATGAGAGTAAGTATATTGTTGTACTTCCTAATCTTAGTACTAAAATATTGTAAAAACTTGTATATGTACAACTACTTCTCCCGTTTCGTTTGTCTCTCTGTCTGCGATGTACGCAAAAACTGTTGAACAGAATTTGATGCGTTTTCTCTAGTGGTTTTAAGAAGGTTTAGCAATTTCTAAATGTTTGAATAGCGCTTTGGATGGAAGTTCATCTAGTTTGTTTTCAATTTTAAGATATCTATCCCATTAGGAAAGTTTCTTTTACTATTTTAATTCAAATAACAAATGCATAAAACTATAAGTTATTTGCTGTCACAACTCAGGTCATTAATGTTATCGACAATTGTGTAAACACGATGTTAGGTCAATCGCAGAAGTACAGTAATTCATTATAAAAATATAGGTATCATGTTTACATTCACTTTATTTATCAGTGCGATCCAACGCTTGTATACAAAATAATATTATCAATTTCTTTTAAATTAAATGCTTGTCCGATAAATTCATTACGTTACTTATCGTTTTAAAAGTGTTTGTTTAGTCATTTCAAACTGATATTGGTACTTTAAGGATATTATTATCTAGATTATCCGCTATCTATGAAAATGAATCATCATTTTCCTCGATCACGCCATAATTGACAAGATAATGGTTGTAACAAATTGAGTAGAGCAGTTTTTTTCTGTTCCTTCAAAGCAAAAAAAAGGAAAGACACATAATATTACCACCAAATCCTCAAAAAACATACAAATCTGTGATAATATCGAGAAGTTAATAAAACAGAATCCCTGAAATGCATTTACCTTTAAATCACCGTTTTTGTAGTGGAAATATTCAGTGACTTTTCCCTCTAAATAGAGGCAACATCAGACTGTTAATAGCTACAAAATTACCCCGTCTCTTTGATCTTGGCCGAATCGCGCGGTACACCACTGGCAACCACGGCTGGTCCGGGAGCATCCTGCGATTCTTGATTTCTTTCATTTTCAAAATCCTAGTGTTTCAAACTACTGACGATAAATATCTTTTGATGTAAGTAGTATAGATTTCACAGCTAGGTATGACTATAAGCTTTTCTCCTGTTTCTATTCTTCTAATATTTCTTGGTTTCGCGTATCCCTATCGAGCCAATATACGCAATACGGTAGTTTCCAACTAGTCAAATTCAATACTTTTATCCTAATGTCAAAAATGGTACTTTGCTATGAAATTTGTATGAAAAACTGTGTTATGACGTCATAGCATTTTTTGCGTCAAATAGCATAGTTATTTCTTAATAATTAGCGTAAAAATATCTCAAACTTAGTGTATCGATCGATCGATGAATAAAAGTATAGTTATTTTTCTATATTTAAGTGTATTGAAAGGTCAAATTAATTTATTTTTGACCTAGGAAACTACCTAGTTTTTAAAGAGGTGTTTCAAATATATTAAGTCTCTAATTTATTTTTCCAGAAGATGAGTCCTGTGGTGCGGAAAAAACCGGCCAGCCGGTGCGTGTTCCCCGGACCGATGACGAAACCTTCCAAGCTTTCTTCACGCCCGCCCTGCAGCAGGAGAGGTTGGCAGAAACCGAAGGTGTTGACGTCGACCTTGATGCCATTGACAGCGGGTCTAGGCAATTGTAAGTTCATTTTGATATTCTTCTTTTGAATTTATGAGTGATTGGCTTAGAATAAAGATTAAACAATAACAACATAACTTGCGTGAATAATGTCTGCTATAGTGAAACTGTCTCCATGGTTATTCTTATTAATTAATTTCCATTGCAGAAATATGGAGTTGCCTTTTCTAAGATTTTTTTTTTTGGTTTGGGTTGTTTTCCAAGTTTTTTATACTGTTTTGTTTATTCGGGTATATAATCCGTATAAACAAAACAATGAAACAATGATTTATTTTTGTAAATGGGCCATAATACCCTTTTACGCGTCAAAACTATATGTAAAAGTTAGACGAAGCCGGCATTTCCTGTCTGACTACTCTGAGAAAAAATGCCAAAACAAACTCAGAGATCCGTTTTTCTTAAATTCAGATAATGTAAAAAATATTATAAAGTGTAAGAACCTTGCAAGTTAATTCTGTAGTAGTCTTTTAACCTTTGACTTATATTTCCTGGTAAACTATATAATATGGTAGGAATCATTTTACGAAATCTTCTAACCCTTTTGAACAAGAGATCCGCTTCTATAACTCATTGTTATTTCTACAGACTGGCGAGCGAATGGTCCCGTCGCGCTCGCGTTGGTCGGCGACACGCAGCGTCGCGCAACCCCCTCCGCGCCCTCGCAGCGCGCACCGACCTACGGGACGAATACGTACCCCCACCACCAACGGTCAAACAGAACTATGTCATCGAGAAATGTAAGTAATCAACAAATATAGATTCTAGATTTTTATAGCGACCGTGCTCGCGTTTCCTAGATCTATTTCGGCAGCAAATTTCTTTCTTTATTTATACCAAAATTTATTCTAATCTATTTATTATTTGTTCCTTAAAAGAGCAACACATATGTTAACGTATATTCTCAGAAAATGTACGTTATATATTTATAATATGTAGTATAATCCATTGAGATTTTAGTTTGGCTCTAATTTTAACAGATAGGACACAGTGAACTTTAATCGGCTATAGATTTAATGAGACAAAAGTGGATGTATATTTAAGTCAAACGAAGTAAATAAGAACAGGAAAATAATAATAAAATTCCAAATAAAGCAATAACACATTAAATACACCTTTTATACGTCAGACGAAGGTAAAAGTAGGCATTATAGGTACTACAAAGGAAAAAAAGACATAAATGCAAGGCGCTAAAGTATTTAGCTAGCTCCATTTAATTTAACACTAGAGTTCCCCCTCCCCCCTTTTTTTTTGGTCAGATGAAATATCATCAAATCACATCTTCCACCTAGGGTTAGGCGAGAGAGAGTGTCAGACTCTTACTGACTAAAAACCCCCCTGTTCCTTCTGCTCTGGGCCGAGGCCGCGGTGACTCATTGCGCTTAACCCGCAACCCTGGCTAGCGACCCCCCTGGCTTCGCATGGGTGCGATGCTGATACTACACTATTAAATGAATGTTATACGTATCAACCTCCTTCTTAAATCAGTCTATCTTTTAAAAAACCGTTTTAAAACCCGTTGTGTTGTTTTAAAGATTTAAGCGTACATAACATATTGGCTATAGGGACAGAAAAAGCGACTATTTCATATACTATGTAGTGATATAATAGACCATATTGCAATATTACACGGTTGATAATACATTGAACATGAAATTTTCATATTCAGTATCAGATTTTTATCTAGATAACAATATATAATTTGTTATAATCGTACGCAGTGAATAATTATATTTCTACAATTAGTCATGTTTGTGTGGCTTCTTGTCAATACTCGGCGATACGTAAACGGATTTTGTATAAGTATATATTTGTGTGTGTTCAAACATTGTGATTCATTGTTCTATCAGCATCTTGAAGTGTTTTGTTGTTTACCAGTGTTGAACAGAAGTAGTGTAAATGGGAATTTATAATAGTGAGTAAATTAATTAGACAAATAAAATATGAAGTTAAAATTATTAATATAAAGTCAGATCTGCCCTCAAGTTAATATCGTAACTTTCGTTACCTTTATATTATGTATCAATTAATTTATGTGGTACAACATGTGACATAAAAAAATACGTTCTGTATTCAAATGTATTTGCTACATATATTTCGGCTATAGTGCCATTGTGACATGGTATTGAACAAATATTAAAAGTGATATTCGAATTGTTATTGATATAAAAGTGAACGTATAGAATTGACATCTTAATTTTCTCTCTGTTAGATGAGGCCCAATAGGGCTGATGTTTAGCTGTGAGTGGTTTTTAGGCAGTTTATAACGCCTTACAGAGGTCGAAAAAGGGTATAAAACCGTTTGCCCTCTCGAAAAAAATTCTTAATGTCTCTGTGCGACAATCAAATTCGTTCATCAGTAATTGAACAACGAACTGCAAAAACAAATTCCACTTCACATTTACGTAGTAAGACTGCTGTTCAAATTGTTTTACATACTTGATCAAAAACTCATATAACATAGGGTCAGTTCACGCGTCTCGAAAAACAACTTTATTTTCTTATAGTCAAAGTACACTTTTATTTATTAATCTTATTAATTTTCATTGTTATTCCCCAGTGGCCAGTAATGGCGGACTAGCAGCGGAGGCGCTGGCGGCGCTTGCTAGCAAAGAGGACTTCGCAGCAGTCGCGCTGCGCAGCGCTGCTACTGCGCCTACCACGCACGGCATGCGACCCCTCATGCTTCTGCAGGTCAAGGGGAGACGGAGGGTGCAGGTAATATTAACATAATTTTTATCTAAATGCCATCATTGCCACACCCAGCTGTTTAGTTTTAGCAAGAATTGAGAGTCAATTAAACTTCATGAACATTTGGTTAAACCCCAAAAACACAGTCTTTCAGAGCAGATTAAAAATTACACTTAACATTTGCTTACAAAAAAGCAGATTTTTTCCTAATTCAACTTATTAAAATGCCACTCTATCATTGTAGTTTAGTAATGGTTAAGAGGGAGTAATGTTTTTACAGACAAGACTAGTGGAACCTGTCCACACGAGCGTCAACCGCGGCGACTGTTTTGTACTGATCACGTCAGACCAGCTGTTCCTCTATATAGGACTCTACGCCAACGTTATAGAAAAGTAAGTACTTTATAGAATTCACAGCATTAGTCTTTTACTTACATTTGTCGTAAGAAAAGGGTAAATGACACTACTTGTTTTATGCAATTTAAATATATGTTTTTTTTTATGTTTTTTTCAGAAACCGCAGCACAGACATTGCCATGCACATCCAAAACACAAAAGACATGGGTTGCAAAAACTCTACGGGCATCATCAAAATAGACGAACAAATAAAAAACTTTAGTAACAAACATTGGAACCAGTTCTGGTCTCTCCTCGGAGTGACCGAAAACGTTGAGAATTACAGGCCAGTGGAGACAGGACACGCTGACGAAGACGAGATCTTCGAGTCCTGCATACTGCAGACCAACATGTGCTACGAGGTCATGGATGACGAGCTCGTGCCCATCAAGGAGTACTGGGGACAAGTGCCCAAGATCGCTATGCTCAACCAAACCAAAGTGATCGTGTTCGACTTTGGCTCGGAAATGTACATCTGGTACGGCAAGAATGTCCCCCTCGAGAGTCGACGCCGCGCGGCACAACTAGCGCAGGAAATGTTTGACGAGGGGTACAACTACGAGGAGTGCCACATCAACCCCTTGAATGCAGCCATGTACCAGGGCGCGCGGGAGGCTACCGATCCTCCCCCAAAATCTGCAAAGAGCCGACCAGAATGGGCCATCCTATCCAAAGTTACGCAGCACATGGAAACCATTCTGTTCAAGGAGAAATTCCTCGACTGGCCTGACTACACCAGAGTCATCAAAGTAAAAACGCCCGAAAATAAGAGCAACAGTGTCGAAATCAACCCATGTGATGCCGAGGAAATGTGGTCGAACGAGTACCAGGATCCAGATCTCATTTTAGAAGGATCTCACGTCGGCCGCGGCACGCACTACTACGACAAGGAGAACATGAGGCATTACGACATCAAGACCAAATCCGTGTGCAAGTGGGTGATACAGGAGTACGATTTCCAAAAAGTTGAGGACGAATCCGAAATCGGTGAGTTCTTCTCTGCCGACAGTTATATCATTAGATGGGAGTACCAGATCACGATGACCGGTCGCGAGCTGAACGGGAAGCCGTCTAAACATAACGTCACGGGAAGAGACAGGTGCGCATACTTCTGCTGGCAAGGGCGAGACGCCAGCTCCAACGAGAAGGGGGCCGCGGCATTACTCACCGTGGAACTAGACAGGGAGAAGGGGCCGCAGGTCCGCGTCGCACAAGGGAACGAGCCGCCCGCCTTCCTCAACCAGTTCCAAGGGAATCTAGTCATCCACCAGGGCAAGAGAGGCTCGGACAAGAGCCGGTACCGACTGTTCGTGACTCGTGGCAACCTGTCCAACGAGGCGTACCTACTGCAGGTACCTTGCTCAGTGCGCCAACTGCGCAGTCGGGGCTCCCTGCTCCTGGTCGACACGGAGAAAGGATGCCTGTACATCTGGCACGGAGCCAGGAGCATGAAGCATACCAAGGACATCGCCATCGAGCTGGCCAATAAGCTGATAGCGAGGAAGTCGAGTTACTTGTTCGGCGAGAACGTGTCGGATGTAAAGATCACTGAAGTGCGAGAGGGCGAGGAGCCGAAGGAGGTCCTGGAGGCGCTGGGCGTGGCCAACAAGCAGCACTACACGTCGCTGCTGGGCGGCGCGGGGCGCGGGCCGGGGGGCGGCGCGGGGGGCACGCCGCGACTGTTCCACTTCACGGACCTGGGGGGGCAGTTCGAGGCCAACGAGGTGTTGTCTCCGCTGCGCCACGAGCATCTGGTGACACCCTTCCCTTTTGACCAAAAGGAGTTGTACTCGGCTTCGCAACCAGGTGAGAATTCATTCATAAAACATTAATTTTTTTTTTTTTGTTGGGTGGCATTCAACCTTTCGGATAACCTGATGGAAAGAAATCAACATCCCCTACAAAGACACTTAGAGGACCAGTTATAAGTGTATTGTCGGCCTTTTATGAGTCAGTGCTGTAGTGATTTGGGAATAAGGCCAGGAGATAGGGAGAAAATTGGGTCTCCATACACACATTCGTTTCATTTTCATGATAATTGTTCTATAGTATAACTGTTTTATGTTTATAGCTCTGTTCCTGCTGGACGACGGAGTGTGTGTATGGTTGTGGCAGGGCTGGTGGCCGCGCGGGGAGGACGGGGAACTCGAGCCTGCTGAGAGGAATGCTGGTCAGTCATAAGTATTATTTTTATGCTATAAACAATGAAACAATGAGAGTGCGTTACCGGCCTTTTATGGATAAGGGTTTCAGATTGGGAAGAGTTGGGGAGAGGGATTGGGCCCCCGGTAACCTTAGACACACGGCGAAACACAACGCTGTGGTTGTTTTACGCTGGTTTTCTGTGAGGCCGTGGTATCAACCAATAATTTTGCTGTGCTAAAAAGTTTCATTTTGGATCTGTTTTGTAGTTTTTTTTTACGTCAATGGGTAACAAACATCTAACGATACTTTCTCTTTTAATATATTAGTAGGACTTAGACCAAGTCTACATATATTTAATATAAATGTTAAAATTCTCGTGATAATTACTATTGAAAAATAGTAGTAAGAAAACGTTAAAGTTGTTTTAACCTCAATAAAAATCTGAGCAACTTAGATATCTGGATAATTTTTGTAATGTTTCTATATCTCTTGTTTATCAGGTGTTGGAGCATTTGCGGCCCGTTGGCAGGCTTTACGAGTAGCGGCCCTCCGTACTTGCGACGCGTACTGGCGCGTGTCACGGCCCGGGACTCGACCCGACGTCCGTCTAGTAGCTGCCGGCCTCGAACCACAGGCCTTCACTGACCTGTTCGATACCTGGGTTGATCATGACGAGGCGGCCGAGGCCAATATCAACGTAAGTACCTTTATAAAATATTTTCTTTGAAATCTCTTCTCTAAAGCACATTCGCGAAAAGGTTTTTCTTTGGTTTGCTTTTATAATTCTAATGCTGTAATAAAATGGGGTCAAATCGACTAAATAAGTTTTCAAACTATTTCGAACTTTATCGAAAAACTAAATGATCTCATTTTCGCTTACCAAGGGTATGGTGTATAAATAAAAACTGAATATAAAGCAACATTCTTATCGATATGTGATCACAATTGGGTGCTTTCCAAATTGTCAAATTTAATACATATGATGTTGAAACTTTCATAGAAAAGATAATTTGCTATGAATTGTGCATAAAACAGTATGTAAATCATGCTAATTCTAACCGATTAGGTAGTAAAATACGATAGTTAAAAACCAATTTATGATAGTGCCAACTTTTAAAACTGAAAGTCTAAAAGACTGTATTTATTTGGACAATGGTACAAATACTGTCCAATCAATCGTGACTAAGGAAAGTACTTAATTGTGTCGGGTATGGTACCTCCCCCCACCGCTTCCCCCGCACTGTGAATACAAGAAGCACTGCCTGCGTCTTGCAGCAGGGGCACAAGGCGGGCGACGTGACGGGCGGCGCGGCCGAACTGTCGCGCCTCACCACCAGCGCCGCCGTCCTGCCGCTGGCCGCGCTGCAGCGCCGCCCCCTGCCCGACCATGTCGACCCCCATCATCTCGAGAGACATCTCTCCTCGCCTGACTTCCTGGTACGTAGCCTCGGCATACTCTTCATTACACTTTAGGTTTTCATTGTCAAGTCACGTCAAAAAATATTTGACATAAACCATAAACAGGTATCTCCTTTTAAACGTCAAAAGGCAGACATCGTTATAGATGTTGAGCTCAAACGCAGTATGTTTGCAAGAAGCTAGCTCAAAATTGCTCAAAATACAATCAGCCACATTCAAAATTCATCAAATCAGTCCAATATGGGACTATAGTATAGTTTCATGATGATACAAAAATTAGAATTGTTTTATTTTGATTCTAAGATTTTATTACTGACATATTTTGCCATCTTAATAAAAACGTACTAGATATTATTAAGTTTAAGAATTTGTAAAGAATATTATTGATCTAGTACGTACATTATTTCTTCACTGAATAATTTCAATAGTAGTAATTCAGGATTTACACAAATAATTATTATATGGTTTATACATTCTTAATTATTGTTATACTTATTAAAAAAATACTATTTTTTTTCTAAATTCTTTCTAAGAAAAGTTTTTAAATCTTGTTACATAATTGTATAAAAATACAATGCACTATAAATTATTTGCACGGATGCGGGAAATTTCGGTGACGGTTTTTTATGTAAATATTTGTCAAAAATGTTTTATTCAAACATTTTTAAAATTAGACATTTCAAATTTATTTCAGAAACCATTCCATGAGGTATTTGCTTATTTAATAGATACAGAAGACAACGTCTTTAATGTTATTTATTTATGCAGACTGGAACTGTTAATGATGATATTTTTTTTATCGCGCAGGAGGCTTTCGGCATGACCAAAGAAGAGTTCTCGGTGCTCCCCGCGTGGAAACAGACTAACATGAAGAAGGACGTGGGCCTGTTCTGACGCGCTCGTCCTCTCAACAACATTATTATATACATTTTGTACAACCGCAGCTCTTTCGTACTTTTTTACTGAACAATGTCGTCGAAGGATTTGATACAATTAATGTTAAGAGCACGCTTATATTCTATTGTAACGTTTGTACTAACGGTATGTATGTACCTAACGATGTATTCGCGCTCGTGATATTTTCATGTAACCGCCGTAGACTTAGGCAAGTAGTTGATCTGAAGGATTTGGAACTTGGAATTGTTCAAAGTTGAAGATGACGCGGTCGTCACAGCCGCACCCGCGTCCCATGTTTGTATATACTTGTTTTATTTGATTATTTATTTCTTAACTATCATTTTTTTCTCATCTATTATCAATGTTTAAACTTTGTATTTAATTTTGATGTAATATTTTGTAGTTTTATAGGTATATTTTTACGTAACTCTGTCGGTGCGGATGTGGCGGGCTGACTATGATAATACTGGTGATATTTTTCGATTCGATTGTAAGACGCGACCGGGCGGTGCATAGCGCCGGAGAGAGTAATTTTGCTATATTATTAAGAGAACGTAACATTTATGTGAAGGGCGCGCCGCCCGGCTGTGTCCTCGCGGAACGTTTTAGCAAATGTCTGGTCAAGTAAAGGTTATTTGTTATAAACCGCTAGATTTACACAAGTACTTTACTACTATTGTATTCGCTTTAGGAGTAGGCTTATATAGCTCTGTGGCGTTTGGAATTGTGTACTGATCGTAACTTGTGATATTGTTCATTTGCGCTAATCGTGTGCTAAATTAAATTCGTAGCAGACTGTTGTTGAAATTGTTAGTAAGTAATTCCAATGGCACAGAGCAACTATTATGTATATTTTAACACATCACATATCTTATCTACTCATTGCATCTTTTTATACTGTGCGTTCGGTGGACCATGATAAAGTTTTAATATGTAATCTTACGGTATTCCGGATTGCGCGGCCCCCGTGCCTGCCAACGTCTTGCACTGTGACTTTAACAATATTTGTACTGACATTTGTGTTGACAAAGCTCGGACGCCGGTGTCACGCCGGCGGGGCTCTCTCGCACTGTTTGTAATTTAATTTTGAAGCTGTTGGTATGTTGTGTACAATTTTAGAAGTTTATTTTTTATATTCTAGCTTATTGCCTAGCGTGGAACGTCGTTCGACGACTATCTGGTTCGCGGAGGAGAAATTGCCAGTACTATAAAAAATACTGCCAATGAGTAGACTAACTCTACAGTCATACTTTAGTTAACTAAATACCACTATTGTAAACTTATTTTATGTCCTAAATGCATTTACGGCCACTTTTATCGTAGGCCTACGGTGACGTGAACATCTCAAATCCAATTTTTAATATTTTGCTTTGGTTGTGTTACTTATACCTAAATAATTATTGTATTTGAGGATTATTTTGTACTGTATAATAAATGATGTAATAAATTCTTAAATTGATTTTGCAATGTTTTTTTTATTCTAACCTGCATTTATTTTGATAGGTGCGCTCTGCTTTTAATTTCATAGAATCCCGTCAATATTCGACGAATTCATAGTGACAGCCATGTAATAGTTGTCGGCGGCGATAAATAATTGAAACAGTTGGGGTACCACTGCATTATCTTATTTTCAGAAACTATTAATTAATATTTTGCGCTTAAAACACCCTCCTCGCCGGTTTTCTCCTAAACGTGGCAACATTGCCAGAACCCTTCATCAGGATAAAGAGAAAACTTTAGTTTCTGAAAAATGGTATTTTATATGTGTTTTATTTCACCTGACTCTGTAGGAATCAATTAAGTCGAACCGCTTTTAAATGTAACGACCTTACACAACCGTGAGGTGTGCAATCTCAGGGAGTATTTCCTGAAAGTGGACCTAGACAAACATCGAGAAGTAATCGCAGTGGAGAAGGGAATCACACCACTATCCTTAGTTAAAACGAACTGGTACAAATCCGTAGTACTGAGCGTCAATTACCGCAAGGAGGTATGGATTTCACGGACGCTTCTTCCCGGCTCTTCACGTTCCCGATGTAGATTTTCTATCTTGGCTACGATTCAGTGATCTCTTTAGAGAAACTGAAGGATTTTTCTTTGCAATTATTGACGAAGTTATCCTTACGAGTATCGGCAATTATGTATATAATGAAAGACGGGACGGTTGACATAATAAATGTCGAGCATGTCATAGCCCCTGTGAATCCTTCAGACGTATTATTCATTCGGCTTAAAGTGAATCTTCTACAGGCATAATAAGGTGGACAAGAACATTCATAAGCAACTTGCTTTGCACTACTGGATCGATGAGTCTTAGGTACTGTTACTACAAGTATGTGCCCGACCTAGTTCTAGAAAATGGCCCATTGATGACCAATGAGAAATATCACATTGTACTGGGATCGGTCCATTAACAAAATTACTGACAGGACTATTGTAGTCAATAAGCCTGATATAGTGGTGTCGAAATGAATGGATGCCACTTTGAAGTTGAAATAAAAATAAAAAAAAAACTGTATATTCAATAAATAATTTAATAACTACGCTAATATTTACAAAATTGCACAAAGTGATGTTTACAACTTAAATAAATTAAAACTAATTACTTTCTAAGTTAATTTCAAAGTTACTTCTAGGAAACATTTTACAATGCTACCGAAGTCTCATTTAGTTTAAAATTCTGAACACGTGTTTGAAGAACTTCTTAACTCTGCGCTTGAAATCGGCTTCTGAGTCTACATCTGCGTCATTTTCTGTGTCATCACTATCATCATTTTCGGCATTGTCATTGTCAGCTTCATCATCCACATCTTCTTCCTGACTTCTCTTGGATTCCTCATCATCATCTACGTCTTCAGGTTCCTGTTCGTTTTCGGTATCATTTTCTTCTTCTTCTTGACTCCTCTTTGATTCTTCTTCATCTACTTCTTCAGCCTCCTCGTTAACGTCATCATCTTCTTCTTGGCGTTCCTGAACTTCTTCTACATCTTCAGCGTCGTCTAATTCCGCTTGACGTTTCACACGTCTCACTTCATCTTCAGATTGTTCATCGTCTTCAAGCTCTTCCTGGCGTTTCTTGGCCTCTTCTACGTCATCCTCGGCTTCGTCTTCAACTTCTTCTTGGCGTTTCTTAGCCTCATCTAAATCTTCATCGATTTCTAATTCTTCCTGACGCTTTTTGGCCTCTTCAACTTCATCGTCAGATACTTCTTCTTCCTCTTCTTCTTGACGTTTCTTAGCTTCTTCTACATCATCCTCAATTTCTACCTCTTCTTGTCGCTTCTTGATTTCTTCTGCCTCATCATCAGATTCTGCTTCCTCTTCTTGGCGTTTTTTGGCTTCTTCTACATCATCATCGGATTCCTCTTCATCTTCTTGGCGTTTTTTGGCTTCTTCTACGTCATCATCAGACTCTTCTTCGTCCTCTTCTTGGCGTTTTTTGGCCTCTTCTACATCATTATCAGCTTCCTCTTCTTCTTCTTCTTGGCGTTTTTTGACTTCTTCTACATCGTCATCAACTTCTTCTTCTTCTTCTTGGCGTTTTTTAACTTCTTCTACGTCATCATCAGACTCTTCTTCTGCCTCTTCTTGGCGTTTTTTGGCTTCTTCTACATCGTCATCAGACTCTTCTTCTGCCTCTTCTTGGCGTTTTTTGGCTTCTTCTACGTCATCATCAGACTCTTCTTCCTCCTCTTCTTGGCGTTTTTTGGCCTCTTCTACATCATTATCAGATTCCTCCTCTTCTTGACGTTTCTTGGCTAGTTCATCTTCTGATTCCTCCTCAGCTTCTTCTTGTCTCATCAGTTTTTTCGCCTTCTCGAGCAGATCTTCTTGTTCATCCAGGTTTTCTTCCTGAGCTTTTAAGTACTCGCCATCAAATTCATCATCGCCTTCAATCACTCCTTCTTCTACAACGACTTCTTCTTGTTTCACAGTTTTGAATGCTTTCAAGTAGTTTTTGACAGCATCGTCTTGCCATTCCTCGCCGGAGCCCTCAGCCTGGAAAGTTGCAGCTTCTTGTTCTGGCTCGGGTTCATCATCCTGTTCTGGCTCGGGTTCGGGTTCTGGCTCGGGTTCTGGCTCTGGCTCTGGCTCGGGCTCTGGCTCGGGTTCAGGCTCTGGTTCTGGTTCTGGCTCAGGTTCTGGTACGACGCAGTGTCCTGGTGCAGGTGACCAGTCACATACCTGGAAAAAATATATACATTTTAATAAACAATTATTTTCTATATCAATATATATGTATGGCTTTAATAAATAAAAATTAATCAATTGAACATTTTTATTGATCTTATTTTAGAGAAAGTAAAGTCATCCAATTCGGTGCATGTTTAGGACTAGTGCGTACGGAAATATGTCGTCAGGCGTGTTATGCAAATGTATTTTACATCTTACAATTCTTAAGATTAGGTTCAAATTTATTTAATCTGGAACTTTCGTATCATCAAGATCTTTTATCTTTCGCGTGATGCCCAGAAGGGTGTTTATCAGAATATTGACGTATGACAGTATGACATATCAAACTACTGAAGAATTGTTGAGATATAAATCGTAAAAGATAACAAAAATACACTGGTTACCGTAACTTTTAATTTTGAAAAAGACTATTTTTGATGAATTTACGACGAAGTTTTAACAATGAGTTTTTTTCTGTCACAACGCGGAGCTAATACATTGTTTTATAATAAGTTCCATAGAAAGTTCAATGGACGTGAAACACATAGTTGTTACAGTTGTGTTAAGGCAAAGAAAAATTGCAAAATAAATTTTAAGATGTGCCGACTTTTCATATTATATCTTCAACACAAAACTATCTATGTAGGTAAACATGACTTATACATGACTAGAACACGACTATTTTAAACTATTTCATTTCCAAATTTGCTGCAGAGTTACTCAAATACATAATGTAAAATCTCAAGAAAACAAAAACAAAACTAATTGAGAACAACTCTCACCTGTTCTGGTTCATTAAACCATGTTCCTGGTGGACAGAGCATAAGGTAAGAGTTGCCGGCATAGCATTGGTAATATTGGAAACAGCTTTCGATGCAGGCGATCCTCAGGAAGTTTTCTTGACCACGGCACAGTGTCTCGGGATTTTGTCTCAATGGGATTGAGAGACCGGAGCAGCTGGCCACGGCCGCTGCGCAGCATAGAAGCCAGATGGCTGCTGGAAATATAATGGGAATGATCAGTATGACTATGTACAGTTATATAATTGCTCATACTACATGATATAATTTTTTGTTCGTAATTGCATAGATAATAAGTTTTACCTATGATTCCATATCTCACATAGGGCTGGGCTATTCCATATCTCCTACTACTACTAGTAATTGTTACTTAGTTACCTATATATGTAGATATTAAGATGTTATCTATACCTTATTATATAATTAGTATTATAAAACCGATGAGTTTGTTTGTTTGAAATATATATTTCTTAATTTGGAAAAATTTTTCGTTGTTTTGTTAGGGAGATGTGTAGTTGTATAGAATTTATTGTTGATATATCTATTGTGGTGGTTTTTAGTCAATAAGAGTCTGACATTCCTTCTCGCCTACAGGCAAGAGCAGAGATTTGGCCATTATCCACCCTCAAAAAAAAAGTGTTGCACAGACTTGAAGATGTAATTTCAGTTTAAGGAAAAGTCAACGTTTCTCAAAATAATTGTACTTAAGTAATTTAAAACTTTGTATCATTCCGAACATAACAAGATAAACATGCCGCTGCCAGCTAATTAAGTCAATATTTGACACAATTTCAATATTGTCACAAAACTAAAGTCCTTAACTTTGATTGTGAAGTACTAAAAAAAGAATCGGTAATATTAATAATATCCAAAACTTGAAAGTGTATTGCAATGATGATGCTGGACGAATGTCTGAAGCTGTAAGCTTTCTACAAAAATTTTTCATTGATGTGTTCATTCATCACTTGGTTTCAATCCGCCCTAGTTGTGGCTAGAGGGAGTGTCATACTCTTAACTGACTAAAATCTACGTCGTCCATTTTCCTGCTCCGAGGAGGGGCTGCCGATATAGGTACTTTTGCATTTGAATTCACAACCCCTGCCAGATAACATATTAACCAGCTTAATTTTGTGCCCCAAGTTAGTCTGCAGATATGAAATATGCAGTCATCTTTTAGAGTTGTATAAAAACCATATACAATTTGTAGAACCTTTAAAAAGTTATAAAATTATTGTGTCACTCATTATTCATTTCCTCGCACCCTACCCAAGGCAGGAGAAGGCATAGGACGAATTCCACCTTCATTAAAAAAACGTGTCAGAAATTAGGAATTAAAATTTTATAACTTTAAATTACGTAACTGTTGATATACCATTAATAAAAAATAAAAATATCCAAAATATAGCCTTCCACATTCAGTATATTTGCCACGAAACAACTATGATATTGTTTTCTAGCAACAAAATAAATCAAGGATTTTGCACATCATAATATTACGCCTCAATAATATTACATAACAATAAAAAAATATATTAATTAATGGAAAAAATCCTAGCATTTAACTATATGAATAACATCATTAAAGCAAATAAATCTCTAAACAAATTAATCAGACTTGTTATATCAAAATAATAATTAAAATAAGTACTTACTGTTCATTTTGACCGCACTGTCTTGTTACCGTTGCGATCCGTAACGAAAGTAAGATAAACAGAGTAAGCCCTTCAATTTTATCGAGAGCATATCACAAGCAGTGATAACAATAGCCGATACAATAAGATACGAGAAGTCAGATATTGTCCATCAAACCTTATCCGAACTAAAGCCGGGATGCTGCTGTCACGACTAAAGATTAAATAAATCGCAAGTAGCTAATTTATTTAAATGATCCTTTCGTGTTTATAAAATAAAATATGTTGTACCGGAATTAGGGAAAGGAAAGTACCTGTGATTGCTTGAGGATTCTATTGAAGGAACTATAGACAGAAAGTTCTGTTGACGGCGAGCAAGGGTAGCTCGCTGCTCTGTCAGAACCAAACCCTAGCGTAATACGCGTATGAAAGAAGAAAGAAGAAAGAAAAACCATTTATTTCACACACAAATGACGCAAGAAACAAACATACACGAAAATAGTTAAGGAGGGACAAAACAAGCAATGAACATAAAAGAAAAAAAAGAAAAGCACTACAATTGCGTCACTCATGCGTGAAAAAGGGCAGCGCTCAGCATAAATGCTGTGTCTCGCGCACGCAGGCACGATACAACAGCGCTGGTTTTCAGCACTGACCGTATCGTTCCGCGCACACCTCAAAGAGCCAAAAGACCACGGATGGCTGCTGCTGTTCAGCCTGAGTTGCGGGGTAAGTGCAATAATCCTGGTGCAATGGCCTGAAGTAGGAGAACGAATGGGGTGGTTATAGTCAGTAAAAGTCAGATACTCCCTCTCTTTCAACTTGGGCTAGAGAAGTAAATTGATGATTCTGCCCCCCTAAATAAGGCAAGCACATGGCCTAAAGTTGGGAATATCATTTTTCAGTGTGAAAGTGCCAGTTTGACGGGATTGACATGAAAACGTCGTGAAGTTACCGATCGCCCTACCCTATCATATACCTATCCCCAAATACCTAATCTCCAATTTTAATTAGTGTTTCCCAAAAAGGTCGGCAACGCACTCATAGAGTACGAGTGCTTTGACCACCATCCGTTTGTTCGGTTGCCGTTGTCACAAATAAATGGTATTCCAGTAGTACCAGAAGTACTACTACTTCATTAAAACTTCACATGAAAAAGTAAGTACTTCCAGTAAGTAATACGTTTGAAAATAAGGCTAACATGAACATAGCCAGTCCATTGTTGATGTTGGTTTGCCGATATTTTTGCTCTGAATATGCGGAGAAATTCTAATAAAACTCAAAATTCCTATTATCTTTTCATTTTCTTGTTTCACCATACGCCTTTGAACCTATTCTGCTTGAACAGCGTTATTTTTATCAGAATAATTATTATATGGGCAATGTTTTTGAACATCGGCATTGATCGGAGCTGTTTGTTGTTGCATGTGATGAATATTTAAAGATATTCTGTGTTACGCTCTAAAATTGCTGATGAAACATTATTGCCGTTTATTTTATGTTCGGTTAGAACTTTGCTGAAATTATCATGGTACGTTTGAGTGGTTTTTATTGGGCTTTAAAAGGCTAGACAGACTAAAAGCTATATTTCTTTATGTTTATTCATGAGAAAATATTTCTTTACTTCACTTTTAACGTATATTTAGGGCGCCCGCATCTCGTGCATGAGGCAAGGACCAATGTGACTTAAGCGAGTTAAATGTACTTTCTATTATTATTTAGACACCGTTGGCATATAATGGCAAAGGAAAACGTCGTGAGGAAACCTTAACTTATTACGACTTAAATAATTGTGAGTATAAAGATAGAGATAGAGATAGAGATAGAGACAGAGATAGAGATAGAGATAGAGATAGAGATAGAGATAGAGATAGAGATAGAGATAGTGATAGAGATAGAGATAGAGATAGAGATAGAGATAGAGATAGAGATAGAGATAGAGATAGAGATAGAGATAGAGATAGAGATAGAGATAGAGATAGAGATAGAGATAGAGATAGAGATGACGGTGAAAGTGAACGTGAACGTGAAGAGGAAGGTGAAGGTGAAGGTGAAGGTGAAGGTGAAGGTGAAGGTGAACGTGAACGTGAACGTGAAGGGGAAGGTGAAGGTGAAGGTGAAGGTGAAGGTGAAGGTGAAGGTGAAGGTGAAGGTGAAGGTGAAGGTGAAGGTGAAGGTGAAGGTGAAGGTGAAGGTGAAGGTGAAGGTGAAGGTGCAGGTGAAGGTGAAGGTGAAGGTGAAGGTGAAGGTGAAGGTGAAGGTGAAGGTGAAGGTGAAGGTGATGGTCAAGGTGAAGGTGAAGGTGGAGGTGAAGGTGAAGGTGAAGGTGAAATTGAAGGCGGAGGTGAAGGTGAACGTGAACGTGGACGTGAACGTGAACGTGAAGGTGAAGGTGAAGGTGAACGTGAACGTGAAGGTGAAGGTGAAGGTGAAGGTGATGGTCAAGGTGAAGGTGAAGGTGAAGGTGAAGGTGAAGGTGAAATTGAAGGCGGAGGTGAAGGTGAACGTGAACGTGAACGTGAAGGTGAAGGTGAAGGTGAACGTGAACGTGAAGGTGAAGGTGAAATTGAAGGCGGAGGTGAACGTGAACGTGAACGTGAACGTGAACGTGAACGTGAACGTGAACGTGAACGTGAAGGTGAAGGTGAAGGTGAACGTGAAGAGGAAGGTGAAGGTGAAGGTGAAGGTGAAGGTGAAGGTGAACGTGAACGTGAACGTGAAGGGGAAGGTGAAGGTGAAGGTGAAGGTGAAGGTGAAGGTGAAGGTGAAGGTGAAGGTGAAGGTGAAGGTGAAGGTGAAGGTGAAGGTGCAGGTGAAGGTGAAGGTGAAGGTGAAGGTGAAGGTGAAGGTGAAGGTGAAGGTGAAGGTGAAGGTGATGGTCAAGGTGAAGGTGAAGGTGAACGTGAAGGTGAAGGTGAACGTGAAGGTGAACGTGAAGGTGAACGTGAAGGTGAAGGTGAAGGTGAAGGTGAAGGTGAAGGTGAAGGTGAAGGTGAACGTGAACGTGAACGTGAACGTGAACGTGAACGTGAAGGTGAAGGTGAACGTGAAGGTGAACGTGAAGGTGAAGGTGAAGGCGAAGCTGAAGGTGAAGGCGAAGGTGAAGGTGAAGGTGAAGGTGAAGAAAGAAAGAAAGAAAGAAAGAAGAAAGAAAATATTTATTTGTGAGAATGTAGTATAATATAGGTGTTTGTGTTATGTGTATGGAATCTCACACATTCTACCGAATTGGTGTACAAATTATTTCGCTTAATATCTAGTTATAACTATGCACTACTTATCCTAAGGTTATGATAGGTCATCTAAATAATCTTTAGTGCAATAATAACATTTGTTTAGCAAAAACTCAAACAATTTTCTTTTAAAAGACATTAGGTTAAGATTTTTTAAGTCATTTGGAAGTTCATTGTAAATTTTGATAGCCATGCAATATGAGTTTCTGCTATATAATGTTGTGCGTTGGCTCGGTACAAATAATTTATTAGGGTATCTACTATTTCTACTAGTAACTGAATTTTTCTTAATAAAGAGATCCGGGTTTTTGTATACAAAAATAGAAATTTCGTAAATATACAAACAGGGCAAAGGCAGGATACAATATTTTTTTAAATAAAGGTAAGCAGCTGTCTAAGTAGTCGGCACCACATAATGCACGTAGACATCTTTTTTGTGCTCTAAATGCTCGGATTAGATCCACAGAGTTCCCTCATATTACCACTCCGTAGCGTAAAGGTGAACGTGAAGGTGAAGGTGAAGGTGAAGGTGAAGGTGAAAGTGAACGTGAACGTGAACGTGAACGTGAACGTGAACGTGAAGGTGAAGGTGAAGGTGAAGGTGAAGGTGAAGGTGAAGGTGAAGGTGAAGGTGAAGGTGAAGGTGAAGGTGAAGGTGAACGTGAAGGTGAAGGTGAAGGTGAAGGCGTAGGTGAACGTGAAGGTGAAGGTGAAGGTGAAGGTGAAGGTGAAGGTGAACGTGAACGTGAACGTGAACGTGAACGTGAACGTGAACGTGAACGTGAACGTGAAGGTGAAGGTGAAGGTGAAGGTGAAGGTGAAGGTGAAGGTGAAGGTGAAGGTGAAGGTGAAGGTGAAGGTGAAGGTGAAGGTGAAGGTGAAGGTGAAGGTGAAGGCGAAGGTGAACGTGAAGGTGAAGGTGAAGGTGAAGGTGAAGGTGAAGGTGAAGGTGAAGGTGAAGATGAAGGTGAAGGCGAAGGTGAAGGTGAAGGTGAAGGTGAAGGTGAAGGTGAAGGCGAAGGTGAACGTGAAGGTGAAGGTGAAGGTGAAGGTGAAGGTGAAGGTGAAGGTGAAGGTGAAGGTGAAGGTGAAGGTGAAGGTGAAGGTGAAGATGAAGGTGAAGGTGAAGGTGAAGGTGAAGGTGAAGGTGAAGGTGAAGGCGAAGGTGAAGGTGAAGGTGAAGGCGAAGGCGAAGGCGAAGGTGAAGGTAAACATGAACGTGAAGGTGAAGGTAAACATGAACGTGAAGGTGAAGGTGAACGTGAACGTGAACGTGAACGTGAACGTGAAGGTGAACGTGAATGTGAAGGTGAAGGTGAAGGTGAAGGTGAAGGTGAAGGTGAAGGTGAAGGTGAAGGTGAAGGTGAAGGTGAAGGTGAAGGTGAAGGTGAAGGTGAAGGTGAAGGTGAAGGTGAAGGTGAAGGTGAAGGTGAAGGTGAAGGTGAAGGTGAAGGTGAAGGTGAAGGTGAAGGTGAAGGTGAAGGTGAAGGTGAAGGTGAAGGTGAAGGTGAAGGTGAAGGTGAAGGTGAAGGTGAAAGTGAAGGTGAAGGTGAAGGTGAAGGTGAAGGTGAAGGCGAAGGCGAAGCTGAAGGTGAAGGTGAAGGCGTAGGTGAAGGTGAAGGCGAAGGTCATCGTGAAGGTGAAGGTGAAGGTGAAGGTGAAGGTGAAGGTGAAGGTGAAGGTGAAGGTGAAGGTGAAGGTGAAGGTGAAGGTGAACGTGAACGTGAACGTGAACGTGAACGTGAAGGTGAACGTGAAGGTGAACGTGAAGGTGAACGTGAAGGCGAAGCTGAAGGTGAAGGCGAAGGTGAAGGTGAAGGTGAAGAAAGAAAGAAAGAAAGAAAGAAGAAAGAAAATATTTATTTGTGAGAATGTAGTATAATATAGGTGTTTGTGTTATGTGTATGGAATCTCACACATTCTACCGAATTGGTGTACAAATTATTTCGCTTAATATCTAGTTATAACTATGCACTACTTATCCTAAGGCTATGATAGGTCATCTAAATAATCTTTAGTGCAATAATAACATTTATTTAGCAAAAACTCAAACAATTTTCTTTTAAAAGACATTAGCTTAAGATTTTTTAAGTCATTTGGAAGTTCATTGTAAATTTTGATAGCCATGCAATATGAGTTTCTGCTATATAATGTTGTGCGTTGGCTCGGTACAAATAATTTATTAGGGTATCTACTATTTCTACTAGTAACTGAATTTTTCTTAATAAAGAGATCCGGGTTTTTGTATACAAAAATAGAAATTTCGTAAATATACAAACAGGGCAAAGGCAGGATACAATATTTTTTTAAATAAAGGTAAGCAGCTGTCTAAGTAGTCTGCACCACATAATGCACGTAGACATCTTTTTTGTGCTCTAAATGCTCGGATTAGATCCACAGAGTTCCCTCATATTACCACTCCGTAGCGTAAAGGGGAAGGCGAAAGCGAAGGCGAAGGCGAAGGTGAAGGCGAAGGCGAAGGTGAAGGGAAAGGTGAAGGCGAAGGCGAAGGCGAAGGCGAAGGCGAAGGCGACGGTGAAGGTGAACGTGAAGGTGAAGGTGAAGGTGAAGGTGAAGGTGAACGTGAACGTGAACGTGAACGTGAACGTGAACGTGAACGTGAACGTGAAGGTGAAGGTGAAGGTGAAGGTGAAGGTGAAGGTGAAGGTGAAGGTGAAGGTGAAGGTGAAGGTGAAGGTGAAGGTGAAGGTGAACGTGAAGGTGAAGGTGAAGGTGAAGGCGTAGGTGAACGTGAAGGTGAAGGTGAACGTGAACGTGAAGGTGAACGTGAACGTGAAGGTGAAGGTGGAGGTGAACGTGAACGTGAAAGTGAACGTGAACGTGAACGTGAACGTGAACGTGAACATGAACGTGAACGTGAACGTGAACGTGAACGTGAATGTGAACGTGAAGGTGAAGGTGATGGTGAAGGTGAAGGTGAAGGTGAAGGTGAAGGTGAAGGTGAAGGCGAAGGCGAAGCTGAAGGTGAAGGTGAAGGCGTAGGTGAAGGTGAAGGCGAAGGTGAAGGTGAAGGTGAAGGTGAAGGTGAAGGTGAAGGTGAAGGTGAAGGTGAAGGTGAAGGTGAAGGTGAAGGTGAAGGTGAAGGTGAAGGTGAAGGTGAAGGTGAAGGTGAAGGTGAAGGTGAAGGTGAAGGTGAAGGTGAAGGTGAAGGTGAAGGTGAAGGTGAAGGTGAAGGTGAACGTGAACGTGAACGTGAACGTGAACGTGAACGTGAACGTGATCGTGAAGGTGAAGGTGAAGGTGAAGGTGAAGGTGAAGGTGAAGGTGAAGGTGAAGTTGAAGGTGAAGGTGAAGGTGAAGGTGAAGGTGAAGGTGAAGGTGAAGGTGAAGGTGAAGGTGAAGGTGAAGGTGAAGGGGAGGAAAAAATCGATGGTACCTAAATATTACAATTATTAACTTCTTTGCACGATCCGGCAATTATAAGAAACGCTAATAATGGGTCTTGTAACAATTCTCAAACCTATCTTGACAATCACTAATAAGGACTTTATTTTAATTAAGTCCACCTGTTATTTATGGAATATCTGTAACATTTTTTGCCTGAACTTATCAGGTAAGTGAACGTGAAGGTGAAGGTGAACGTGAAGGTGAACGTGAAGGTGAACGTGAAGGTGAAGGTGAAGGTGAAGGTGAAGGTGAAGGTGAAGGTGAAGGTGAAGGTGAAGGTGAAGGTGAAGGTGAAGGTGAAGGTGAAGGTGAAGGTGAACGTGAACGTGAACGTGAAGGTGAAGGTGAACGTGAAGGTGAACGTGAAGGTGAACGTGAAGGCGAAGCTGAAGGTGAAGGCGAAGGTGAAGGTGAAGGTGAAGAAAGAAAGAAAGAAAGAAAGAAGAAAGAAAATATTTATTTGTGAGAATGTAGTATAATATAGGTGTTTGTGTTATGTGTATGGAATCTCACACATTCTACCGAATTGGTGTACAAATTATTTCGCTTAATATCTAGTTATAACTATGCACTACTTATCCTAAGGCTATGATAGGTCATCTAAATAATCTTTAGTGCAATAATAACATTTATTTAGCAAAAACTCAAACAATTTTCTTTTAAAAGACATTAGCTTAAGATTTTTTAAGTCATTTGGAAGTTCATTGTAAATTTTGATAGCCATGCAATATGAGTTTCTGCTATATAATGTTGTGCGTTGGCTCGGTACAAATAATTTATTAGGGTATCTACTATTTCTACTAGTAACTGAATTTTTCTTAATAAAGAGATCCGGGTTTTTGTATACAAAAATAGAAATTTCGTAAATATACAAACAGGGCAAAGGCAGGATACAATATTTTTTTAAATAAAGGTAAGCAGCTGTCTAAGTAGTCTGCACCACATAATGCACGTAGACATCTTTTTTGTGCTCTAAATGCTCGGATTAGATCCACAGAGTTCCCTCATATTACCACTCCGTAGCGTAAAGGGGAAGGCGAAAGCGAAGGCGAAGGCGAAGGTGAAGGCGAAGGCGAAGGTGAAGGGAAAGGTGAAGGCGAAGGCGAAGGCGAAGGCGAAGGCGACGGTGAAGGTGAACGTGAAGGTGAAGGTGAAGGTGAAGGTGAAGGTGAACGTGAACGTGAACGTGAACGTGAACGTGAACGTGAACGTGAACGTGAAGGTGAAGGTGAAGGTGAAGGTGAAGGTGAAGGTGAAGGTGAAGGTGAAGGTGAAGGTGAAGGTGAAGGTGAAGGTGAAGGTGAAGGTGAAGGTGAAGGCGAAGGTGAACGTGAAGGTGAAGGTGAAGGTGAAGGCGTAGGTGAACGTGAAGGTGAAGGTGAACGTGAACGTGAACGTGAAGGTGAACGTGAACGTGAACGTGAACGTGAACGTGAACGTGAACGTGAAGGTGAAGGTGAAGGTGAAGGTGAAGGTGAAGGTAAAGGTGAAGGTGAAGGTGAAGGTGAAGGTGAAGGTGAAGGTGAAGGCGAAGGTGAAGGTGAAGGCGTAGGTGAAGGTGAAGGTGAACGTGAACGTGAACGTGAACGTGAACGTGAACGTGAACGTGAACGTGAACGTGAACGTGAACGTGAACGTGAAGGTGAAGGTGAAGGTGAAGGTGAAGGTGAAGGTGAAGGTGAAGGTGAAGGTGAAGGTGAAGGTGAAGGTGAAGGTGAAGGTGAAGGGGAGGAAAAAATCGATGGTACCTAAATATTACAATTATTAAAGTGAAGGTGAATTATTAAGGTGAACGTGAACGTGAAGGTGAAGGTGGAGGTGAACGTGAACGTGAAAGTGAACGTGAACGTGAACGTGAACGTGAACGTGAACATGAACGTGAACGTGAACGTGAACGTGAACGTGAACGTGAATGTGAACGTGAAGGTGAAGGTGAAGGTGAAGGTGAAGGTGAAGGTGAAGGTGAAGGTGAAGGTGAAGGTGAAGGTGAAGGCGAAGGCGAAGCTGAAGGTGAAGGTGAAGGCGTAGGTGAAGGTGAAGGCGAAGGTGAACGTGAAGGTGAAGGTGAAGGTGAAGGTGAAGGTGAAGGTGAAGGTGAAGGTGAAGGTGAAGGTGAAGGTGAAGGTGAAGGTGAAGGTGAAGGTGAAGGTGAAGGTGAAGGTGAAGGTGAAGGTGAAGGTGAAGGTGAAGGTGAAGGTGAAGGGGAGGAAAAAATCGATGGTACCTAAATATTACAATTATTAACTTCTTTGCACGATCCGGCAATTATAAGAAACGCTAATAATGGGTCTTGTAACAATTCTCAAACCTATCTTGACAATCACTAATAAGGACTTTATTTTAATTAAGTCCACCTGTTATTTATGGAATATCTGTAACATTTTTTGCCTGAACTTATCAGGTAAGTGAACGTGAAGGTGAAGGTGAACGTGAAGGTGAACGTGAAGGTGAACGTGAAGGTGAAGGTGAAGGTGAAGGTGAAGGTGAAGGTGAAGGTGAAGGTGAAGGTGAAGGTGAAGGTGAACGTGAACGTGAACGTGAACGTGAAGGTGAAGGTGAACGTGAAGGTGAACGTGAAGGTGAACGTGAAGGCGAAGCTGAAGGTGAAGGCGAAGGTGAAGGTGAAGGTGAAGGTGAAGAAAGAAAGAAAGAAAGAAAGAAGAAAGAAAATATTTATTTGTGAGAATGTAGTATAATATAGGTGTTTGTGTTATGTGTATGGAATCTCACACATTCTACCGAATTGGTGTACAAATTATTTCGCTTAATATCTAGTTATAACTATGCACTACTTATCCTAAGGCTATGATAGGTCATCTAAATAATCTTTAGTGCAATAATAACATTTATTTAGCAAAAACTCAAACAATTTTCTTTTAAAAGACATTAGCTTAAGATTTTTTAAGTCATTTGGAAGTTCATTGTAAATTTTGATAGCCATGCAATATGAGTTTCTGCTATATAATGTTGTGCGTTGGCTCGGTACAAATAATTTATTAGGGTATCTACTATTTCTACTAGTAACTGAATTTTTCTTAATAAAGAGATCCGGGTTTTTGTATACAAAAATAGAAATTTCGTAAATATACAAACAGGGCAAAGGCAGGATACAATATTTTTTTAAATAAAGGTAAGCAGCTGTCTAAGTAGTCTGCACCACATAATGCACGTAGACATCTTTTTTGTGCTCTAAATGCTCGGATTAGATCCACAGAGTTCCCTCATATTACCACTCCGTAGCGTAAAGGGGAAGGCGAAAGCGAAGGCGAAGGCGAAGGTGAAGGCGAAGGCGAAGGTGAAGGGAAAGGTGAAGGCGAAGGCGAAGGCGAAGGCGAAGGCGAAGGCGAAGGCGACGGTGAAGGTGAACGTGAAGGTGAAGGTGAAGGTGAAGGTGAAGGTGAACGTGAACGTGAAGGTGAAGGTGAAGGTGAAGGTGAAGGTAAAGGTGAAGGTGAAGGTGAAGGTGAAGGTGAAGGTGAAGGTGAAGGTGAAGGTGAAGGTGAAGGTGAAGGCGAAGGTGAAGGTGAAGGCGTAGGTGAAGGTGAAGGTGAACGTGAACGTGAACGTGAACGTGAAGGTGAAGGTGAAGGTGAAGGTGAAGGTGAAGGTGAAGGTGAAGGTGAAGGTGAAGGTGAAGGTGAAGGTGTAGGTGAAGGGGAGGAAAAAATCGATGGTACCTAAATATTACAATTATTAACTTCTTTGCACGATCCGGCAATTATAAGAAACGCTAATAATGGGTCTTGTAACAATTCTCAAACCTATCTTGACAATCACTAATAAGGACTTTATTTTAATTAAGTCCACCTGTTATTTATGGAATATCTGTAACATTTTTTGCCTGAACTTATCAGGTAAAAACGCTCAAGGGAGCCGTGTAGTGGCCAGCTGAAGCGAAATAAAGTAACGCACCCTCGGTTTGCACGAGGGAAGAGAACGTGGTGGTTTTAGTCAGTAAAAATACGCGTCGAATTGAGAACCTCCTCCTTTTTTAAAGTCGGTTAAAATGTCTGACGCTCCCTCTCGCAAAGTTGATTTGAAGAGTTTAATACCTGCTGTAAGTTTGCTGCGGCTTAACAGGGTGAATTACTTTCACTTGTGGAATTTACCTATTCAATGTTAATGAACATAAATAAATAAACAAATAGATTTTACCCTCACAAAAAAACTTGTGTGGCGACATCATTGTAGAAAACATTTGTTACGACTTCCCGAACAACTTTTTCCTCATCAGTTGTAATCCTTCTAGTTAGTTCTCTGATAAACTTGATTTCTCTAAATTGCGCTATCCAGCCCTCTAGCAAGAAGATAGAAAAATATAGAAAACCCTTAGACGAGACTCAATGCGCTCAAGGGATACTGAGGATTTTTTTTCGATCCATTTCCATTTCCTCAAGGTCCCGTCTATCTCTGTACGTAATCTTATTAAAATCAGTTTTGTAGTTTAGGCGTGAAAACGTAACAAACAGACAGTCAGCTAGATAGACAGATTATTTTTTGCATTTATAATCATGGTGGAAAGTTAAAATTTTTAATAATTTTAATTAAAAATACGAATAAATTATCGTAACAACAATATTTTATCCGATTTTGAATCATACAATTTGTTTAAATAAATCAGCAGAATGAGTCAAGTTAATACTTTGTAAAAACTTGTTCAACGTATACTGAGCTATCTACAGTTAAACCAGTATACGCGGTTTACTTTCAAAATGCAATAATAATCAAGTTATTTGTGCACTTAACGGGAACACTTAGAGGTTTTTTTGTGAAGGGAATATCAACAAATTACTTATGAATCTGAATTAATGCTCAACCGTGTACTCTGGGTGGTCACGTCTGAATGACGACACTTCTGACGGCGTTTCTGTCCGACGGATCCGAAACAGAAACCTTTCGAAGCTGCCGTGCCCGGTAAGTACCTGCGTCTGGTGGAAGGTGAGGACGCCATGGCGTCTACTGATCCACTTCTCAGAGAGGGGTCTTACCGCTGCTATAACTGAAGGGATACTGAGGATAAAGAAGAGATAAAAAAACACTACACGAATGATTATATTTTAGTGATCTCACATAGTACTACAATAAGTAAAAATAAATTTGCGCACAAAAAAAAGTCGCAACAGTGAGACCGCACTCTAAATAAATCGCACGTATTATCTAAAATCTAGCCAAGTGCTATGTGCGCTGTCTACATGACCTTCTGTGTGTGTCACGCGAATGCATACACGAGTGATAGATGAAAAATTGCCTGTTTTCTAGAAATTATAAAAGGCTTCAAGGTTATACCGTTGTTGGGAGAAGAAAACCAGCTGATATTGTACACTTAGCAAAATATTTTGACGTAGTTTGCTATCTACATGTAGACAGAGGGATTTTGCTTAAAAAAATTGACAATATGAAATCGTAATATATTATGTTAAAAGACCATCCTACAGGACATGTTACGCACCCATAAGTGTTGGGATTTGAAACCCGTCGAGTACCAATGTAATTTATCTAGTTTCTAAATTTATTTATACACAATTATTGTTATACGGCGAAAGGAAACATCGTGAGGAAATCTGGACTTAAATCATAGTAAGATTGCTTGATTCTTAAACTTTTTCCGTTGGAGAAGAGACATTAATTCAGAAGTAAACACTTGTAGGTTGACGATGGTGATGATGTGAAGAGGTGAATCCAGAATAAATGGCAAAATTTTTGGAAGAAAATGTTGTGTACAAATTTATTTATGTATTGTAAGTATTATAATACTATAAACTTAAGGGCAGTAGAAAGTGACAAGCGTAATAGCTACTTTTGATATGGAAATCTGAGATTTATAGGTAATATATAGATATGTTTATGAATTTAATAATTTTCAAATTTATTATTATAGTCTAGTTTTGTTTTCGATGATTGGTCGTAGGCCTGGCTCCCTTTGACTAGCTTTTATTAAATAAGTTCGTTATGGGAATTAATTCACTTTTATTCAGCACTTGATTTTTTCATTTTTAAATATTCAAAACGAAAAACATTTAAAAATGCAAAAAGCAGTATCCCACCGGTTACGGGAGGATTCCAAGCAACCAGTGGTCAGGGCCCCAGAGAAAGGAATCTCCGGACAATGCGCGCCGTGTCGAGAAGTACAACTTTCTACATCAGGTTCTTGACCCAACCATCGAACGTAATCCTGCTTAGGTGTTTATCGAGGCTTTTAGCTAAGATCATTGGCAGACATTATGGGAATAATTATTATTGTAATAAAATATTTAAAAGTTTCTTCTCTAAATTGTTGTTTCTATGAATGGGCCGTTGATTACAAGATGACTAAAACACAACAGGGAAAATCTTAACAGTAAGCTTATCTATAACCAAGATCTTGTTGACACGATAGCTAAAACATACGTACTACGTAATCTATATGTACGTAATTGAGTGTGCATGACCGGGTTTTTCACCGAAAGGCTTATTTTAAGACATGTTAACATACTTACCTACCTACATCCAAACTAATATTATAAATGCGAAAGTAACTCTGTCTGTCTTTTTTCACGCCTAAACTACTGAACCGGTTTCTGTGAAATTTGACATAGCTTACTTAGAAACGGTCTTGAAATTTGGAACAGACATACTGTTCCAAATTTCAAGACCGTTTCTGGAACTCGAAAAAGGACATAGGATAGTTTTTATACCAAAAATATGTAAGAAGTCACTATTTGACGCAAAGCGAGTCCCGGGCAAAATCTAGTTATTTATATTTTGTTGCAAAATGTGCATGTTCAGGTAACTGACATAAACGTACTTCAAGTGTATACGAGACCTTTTTGGGGAGGGGCAGGGATCATCAAATTACTTATTATCCTGGTTGAGGAGGGAATGTCATGAATGCTTATTTTTTTATTTATTTTTAATGTAATTGGTCGCCAAGCGAGCAAATGGATTACCTGGTGGTAATCCATTTGCTTGGAGAGAGTTGATTTGGAGATTTTGGAAAAGGACACGGATTGAGGTAGGGGAAGGATTGGGCCTCCGGTAACCTCACTCAAACGGCGAAACACAATTTTTTTGTTATTTCATGCCGGTTTTCTGAGACCGTGGTATCACTCCGGTCGAGCCGACCCATTCGTGCCGGAGCATGGCTCTCCCACACTTAAAACCAATCTGGTCCTTCTCCTGCTCCCGGCCGGGGCCGCAGACGTATCCATGAGCGGCGTTGACCTACGCCTATGACCTATGCCTGACATAGAAAAAGTCTTAAAAAACCAGCTTTTTCCATTGCTATCGTAAAAGGCTACTAATGTACAAATAATAAAGAGCAGCGCTGTTCCTATGCTTAGCGTGTTGATAAAAGTATTCTACTAAGGGTTAATTTTTCAATGGTTAGATAAAACTTATCTGGGGAATTATTATGATGCAGTCGCGTCGCGATGTTTGTATAAGACAGTGACAGCAAGCATGTTTTTTTCAATTTTCCTCATTTCTCTTTTATCTGGCTATTGAAAAATCAGCCTTAAGTTCAACACACAATGGTCGTTATAATTTCGTTAATTTTGAGCAAACAATAAAACCTGCGAAAAATATTCGTGTTGGAAATACGCGTATAATATGAGACCATCGTCTCATCACGTCCGTCGCATAAACTTTAAATAAAGTGGCTACACATCGCGAGCATGCATTTCAAATACAACTCTTTTCTCATACATTTTCTTCAATATAACAAAACTTTATAGAAATATTCTCGTAAGGTCTATTTTGCGTTGACACGACTGTATTTCAGATACTGTAAATGTGCGATAGTGGTTGTGAAGTGACTGGTTAGATGATTTTGAGCTTTATAGCTACAAAATATTCGATATAGTGAATTTGAATCTTGAATTGCATAATTGGTTTCTATGAAACCTTAGATAAACTATTTTATAGGAACATCGTGGTGGCCCTGAGGTTAACACTGACATACGCATCGTGAGGAAACCTTTGATTTTGACTGCACGGTTGGTGCCGTGGCTGGGCAACTGGCTGCCGTGCAACGTGTCGCGAGTTCGATTCCTGCACGGAACAACACTTTGTGGGATCCACAAATTGTTGTTTCGGGTCTGAGTGTCATGTGTATGTGACATTGTATGTTTGTAAACGCATCCACAACACAGGAGAAAAATCCTAAAGAGGGGCAACGTTGTTGTTAAAAAAAAAATTTGAAATCGCCAACCCACATTGAGCAAGCGTGGTGATTAATGCTCAAACCTTCTCCGTGTGAGAAGGGGCCTTTGCTCAGCAGTTTGCACTTATAGGCTGATGATGATGATGATGATGATAGGAAAATCTATAAACCAGGATCTACAGTAGGTGAAATCCGCACGATTAATTTTCGCATGCCAACTGAAGGCGAGAAATCCTCAGTGACTTATATTTTTATAACCTTGTCTCTATTGCTTTGGATTACCACATAATTATATATGTGAATAAAGATTAGATTTTTTTTATTAATTTCAGTAATCTGGATATCTGAACCAGGACTTTCAACTCGAAACAACGTAACCAATATTCGCACGAATATTTATAAGAAGAAAAATAATAATACATTGAAGAAAATTCCCAGTCTATTTGGATATTTAGCACAATTCCTCATAAAACATAATTACACAAAGTCACAACCAACTAAAACACGTCCAGATCTGTAGGCTGATAAATTAAACTTATAGACACAATTAGATGATTTAGTTTAGTTAAAGTTCTTTGCCAAGTTAACTCCGTCTGTGAAAACAACTAACTTATAACCCTCACTGTACTATTGTTACAACGTCAAAAGTTTTGGTGAATAGATGAATCTTGGAAACTTAATTACAGCATCAAATAATCGTCCTACAGTTTTTAGTTTTGACGTTCAAATGGACAGAGATGACAAATTCCCAATAAAATTCTAGTCTTCTGTATATTATAAAGAGGTATCTAAGTATGTATGTAGGGGGTAATCTTTATCATTATTTACATCATTTTAAAACATCGAAGAAATTTATACTAATACTAGCGGCCCGCCCCCGCTTCGCTTGGGTCCAACTATCTCGCTATCAAAGGGTCACTTTTTCCTAATCCTCCCCTCTACTTTTCTAATATTTAGCTTTGATAAGAACCTTCTTCTGATAATAATAAACACAAGAAAAAATAATTAGCAAAATTGGTTCAGATGTTGTTGAGTTATGCGCTTACCAACACATTTTGCGATCCATTTTTATATATAAAGATAATAAAGTGGTAAAATTTGTAAGTTTGTATGTAGGGGGTAATCTTTGGAACCGTTGGTCGGATTTCCAAAATTCTTTCACTGATATATAAAGCTGCAATGTTCCTGAGTGCTATAGGCTATAAAATATTACGCTACGATCAAATGGAGCCGAGTAGCGGGTGAAAGCCGAGTAGCTTGTATGGTATAAGGTGGCGAACTAGCAGACGGATGACAATTGATGGATTGATGACAATTTGGTTTTTTTATGTCAATGATCGGCGAAAGAGCTGCCACATTGTCTGATTGTAAGCAATCGATGCCGCCCATGGACATCCGTAACACCAACGGTATCGCAAGTGCATGTCGGGCCTTTAGGATTTAGAGATGTAGGGATTGGAAAGGGCGGGGGGAGGGGAAGGATTGGGCCTTCTGTAATCTCGCTCACACGGCCAAACACGTTACTGTGATTGTTTACGCAGATTTTAATGATGCCATGGTATACTCGCACAGTGAAACAGAACACCAGTAGAAATTTTCGATCCAGCTGACCCATTCATACTGAAGATTCTCCAACACTTTCTTCATTTTTAAAAGTTCCTACGTTCCTTAGGATCAAAAGAGAATACACAGCTGACAAAGATCAGACAGCAAAGCTCTCTGATAAACCTGAACCTTTCAAACTTCCCCTTTCCTTATCAGCTGCAGCTGACTCTACGCGCCTGCTGAATTTGATGATCATGTCAACACAGTAGAGGAGGAACTTATTCAACCAGTGAAATCATGGAATGCCATAGCAACTTATCCCCACCATACTCCTAGTCTTCTTAACAAAATAACAAATTCAATGAAACAACAGAACTTTCCTAAATTCAAAATTTAATTCAATTAACTTGCTACAGATACTTTTCCGTGGTATACTGGAGTGACAACAGATCTTGATAAAGTGCGTTATAAATATCTATTGATGATTAAAATTGATATTTCAAAACAATCAATCATCATCCGATTTTATCTCGAATCCCGTCTATATAAATTAGTTACGGAAGTTTTAGATGACAAAGATTAGAATAATATTAGGCGGAAGGGAGTGTCAGACTCTTACTGATTAAAAACCCCCCTGTTCCTTTTCCTGCTCTGGGCCGAGGTCGTGGTGCCTCATTGCGCTTACGCCGCAACCCCGGCTGTATTTGAACCCGTGCAGTTCTTTTAACTACGATCTCTTAGCTGCTTACCAAACGTAGGTATAATGGTAATGCTTTTCAAATGGTTGGATTGTTTAGCAGTGAACATTTTCTGATTGATGATGACGACAAGATTATGGTAACTCCTATAAGACCGATGATTTTTTTTCTTTTTAAAAAGAACATTGAACCACACTAGGATTTTTTCCTGGGTCGTAGGTGCGTTTACGAACATACAAATTCACATACACATCACACCCAGACCCGGAACAATAATCTGTGGTTCAGACAAATAGTTTTTCCGTGCGGGAATCGAATCCGCGACAGGTTGCGCGGCAGCCAGTTGCCCAACCACCGCGCCAACCGTGCAGTCATAATATTGTAAAGTCAACCATCCAAACCATCGGGCACGCTATTATAGCAGCGGTAAGACCCCTCTTTTAAAGGGAGTGGCTTGAGGTAGGTTCCTGTTTCAGATCCAGCGGGAGGAAACGCCCGAGTGTCGTCATTGCGAGGACCACCTAGAGGATACGGTGGCGGTATGCCCTGCCTGGGCTGAGCACCGCCGTGTCCTCAGGGAAGTGATCGGCAGCGGTGACCTCTCGCGCCCGGCCTTAGTCGAGGCCATGGTGCGGAGTGAGAGGAACTGGGATGCCGTCTCCTCCTTTTGTGAAGCAGTCATGCCCGCAAAGAGAGAGGCGGCCCGCGTGAGGGAGCAATCCTCCTCCTCACGCCCCAGCAGCCGTAACTGGCGACACTACGGGCGTCGGGGATCATGGGACGATCTCCGGCTACCGTAAGCACGGGCCTGCGGTCGGCGAGTAAGGGCAGCTTGCCGCCCGACCAGAACCAGGCCCGAGCGTACGGCGCGTAGCGTTCCGCGCGCGACTCAAAGAGCCAATAGACCACCACAGATGGGGCCCTAAAGGGCTAATGTTCAGCCGGGGTTACGGGGTAAGCGCAATGAGGCACCGCGACCTCGGCCCAGAGCAGGAGAAGGAACATGGGGTTTTTAGTCAGTAAGAGTCTGACACTCCCTCCTGCCCGGCCCTGGGCGGGAGAAGTCATTTGATGATTTTCCCCTCACAAAAAATAAAACCATCCAAACCATCTGTGTTACTACGGAAAATATCAGACGATAAAAGTCCAATCTTAATTCACTGAAAGGCGCCAAATTCTGGTTAGGTATCCGCCTAAACCAATCGGACTCGAGCCGGTCCCGCTTTGAGCAGGAGAAGTAACGGGGTACTTTTAAGTCTGTAAGAATGTCACTCCCGCCTCACCCAGGACTGGACAAGTCTGTGGATAATTCCTTCCTATCAAAAAAACTCCGAAAATATCATCATTAATCATTGGATCGTTTTACTTTCTATAAATACATTTCTTTAGATTGCTTCATGTTAAATCAATTTTAAAATCGAGTTCCCAAAGAAAGCGAGTAGAACAATACACAAATGCATTGAGAATTGGACACAATATATAGGTATCACGCATATTGTTCAGTTTACCAAAGATTTCTGTCTAACCCGACGTTGGGGAAGCCATTAATTCGAAAGATGTGTCGCCCAACAATGCCCAAAGGGACCATATGGTTATGTTACGTCCATATCAAATAAAACGTCAATACTACGGTCTAATAATGTAAAAATACTAATGTATAATATTTTAACAAAACATACCGAAAAACAAGCTTTTTCCTGCCAATAATTGTTTATACCTACCTACTATTCTTTTTTTTCCTAATTGGGTAGGTACACAAAAAAATATTTTGAATAATCGAACTATATACTTAGTTAAGTTTTTTTTTCAAGGCACATTTAAAAAAATAAATAGTAATTTTAAATGGCGAATAAATACGATGTCGTCATCATTTGGTATAAGTAGGTATATTTAATACAAAAATCATAGGAATTTATTTTTGTCAAAGTGTTGAATTTGAATAGTTGACAAATACTGTAACTATTGAGAAATATTCAGAAGAAACTGCCTACCGCGTTTCTGGAGCAGGGGAAGGAACGGAGTGATTTTTATTATGATTGGTCGTCACTCGGGGCGCAAAAAGCCATTCAATAAACATCCTCCCTCAAAAAAAACCTATTATAGATTAAACTAATTTTTATCTTTCGTCAAACCCATGCATTCGCGCATTTTAATTTCAACCCTATTTATAAAAGCCTTCGTAATCAACGTACCAACATCCCCTATATAGATTAAATATTTGGTCACCAGTACAATTTCTTTTTATTATATTTCCTTCTCAACGGAGATCGCTTACCATTAGGCATGATTCTTATAGCAACCACTTATACTGTAAAAGAACAGAAAAAAACCTGGCACTGACATTAAAACAAACCTGACCCTCACTATAGAGAAGTAGAAACAGAATACAAGGTCAACTCTCCCCTTCCTGGAATAAAGAACGCAACTATACAACCTTGGTTAATGTTTTAACTGTAAAAAGTTAACTTTGACTTAATTCTAACACCTCAGGCAGGAACACTTATACAATTCTTAGAAACGTAACTATAACTGTAACTTTACGTTATTTTCTAAGAAAAATCCTGCAAGCAAGCAAACACGATTCACTGTCTGTAGGTACCTAATCTTATTAAATTTTTCAAAACTTCTTGCAATCTAGTACAAGTAAGAAGTCGGTGGTTTTAAGAAATTTCCTTCAATTCAAACTCGACTTTTCCCGCTAAATTAATAAACATCTATCGACCAAATCCTTGAGAGATTTCGCAACGTTACAGAAAACTTCATCGATATACGTATGTTAGAGTAGGTTAGTTGTCATATTATTAGGTTTTTTTTAAATTTGCCTATTGACATTACTACTAGATACGTTCCTACGAAATAGAAATTCCTTAAAATTACTCTAACCTTTTAAATTATGTCACTAACAAAAACATTAATAGTTATTTTTTGTTAAAACAAGAAAACCATAAAAATAAAACTGCACTCACGTTTCTCAAGGGTCGTCATTTCGAAGAACTATAAATCACATAATTAAAATTTATTCTTGTCTGATTGCAAAGTTATGCAATAGTAAGTTCAACCCCCTTACTGCTTTTCTAAGTCCTCTCAAGAAAAACAGAGGGCAAAGCTTGTATTTTTATAAATTATGCTATAACTTATACACCTGTTTCCGCTTGCGCCATTTCTTGTTCAGTGATATTTGGATCAGTGTTTATAATATAAACTAGTAACTAATTACAATGGATATAGTAAGCAAACAGTTTAATGTTTGGGTAACAATTAAGTATTCTCTATATAATAATAACTAACATTACCCATCAACTTTTGTAAATGTTAAAATTTGTTTGTTTAAAAATTTAACAGGTAACATTTATTTCACCTTTCAGAAGTATGAAGTTACTAACCTATTTATGGTATGTTTAATAAGGTCTTTGAATTCATGTTTTTTTTAAACATAAGAGGTCTGAGCGGTAGATTGACACATTTTCTCTTTAAGTTTAGCTTGACGTTCAAAAGTGCTTGTGTTCAAAAGTGTTTTTTTTTATTATTATTCTTTAAAGGAATACCTATTAGATTTTTTGTCGGAGGTTTTTTTGATGTTATCAAAAGTTATATTATATTTACTTTTAATAAGACTCCTATTGCATTCTCTCAAAGCCGCTGTAACTTCTAGAAGTCAAGATCTACAGTAGAATACAACTATTAAACTCCGAAGCACCGAAGTCTGTCGAGTCACAGGGACCTTGGATCACGGTAAATACACGGTTTCCATTTTGTCAGTACTTTTAAAGGAAAAGACAAAAAGACTTAAGTTTTTGGTGGCACAAAATCACCACAAAACTGGGAAAAAGCCAGTATTGAAAATTCTTCTCAAACCTTTAACTGATTCCCCCACGGAACAACTCTTTGATGTGTGATCTACAAATTGTTGTTCCGGATCTGGGTGTAATATGTATGTAAAATTGTATATTTGTAAATGCGTCTACGACACAGGAGAAAATCCTATTGTGGGGCACGTTTAAAAAAAATCCTGTTTTATAATTATGAAGCTTAATAAAAATAGAAAATTTATATAATTAAATTATGTTTTTTTTTGTTCGACAGCTAATTAGCTATTCGCTTCACTTTTGTCAATAATTAGCTCCTTAGCGATATACAAACAAACAAACTAGCAAAAGTTAAAATATAAATACCGCGTTTCTAGCAGCCATACAAAATGAAATCGAAAATTGTGTTAAAGTTGGTCGTTCGCGAGTCGTTAAGTTCATTATTTGTTTCAGTGACTTATTTGAGCTCGATTGAAGTTTTACCATCAAACCTAGAGTTGGCTTCATGTACAACTTTACCTGTTATAATGATTGATTATAGTGTAATTATACGTCTTTTGTAAAGTGTAACTGCTGTTTTCTCATACATATTACGATTAAGTAGTTAAACTATTCATTTGTGTGTGGGAGAGCCATGCTTCGGCACGAATGGGTCGGCTCGACCGGAGTGATACCACGGCCTTACAGGAAACCAACGTGAAACAACGACAGCGTTGTGTGTTGTGAGTGAGTAATATTTCAATAATTCCCCTCGCCAAATCCCTCCCCAATCCCTAATCCCCAAAAGGTTGGCAACGCTCTCGTAACGGCTGTTGTTGCGGGTGTCCATGGGCGGCGCTGATTGCTTACCATCAGGTAATGCATAAGATCGTTTGTCGACCTGTAACATAAAAAATTATTACTGATTACTTAACATGAACAATAATACAAGAATGAATTCTTTCTCCGCTAAAATGAAATATTTTCACAAATGATATGAAATTGCGACTGCAGTTACTTATACCATTTCATTGCGAGCATAACTACATACATATTATGCTGTGACAAAGTTACGCCAACATGATCAACAAAAAGTTGATATTAGTCATAATATAGTGGTAAAACTTCCTCTTCGGAGGATCTAAAGGCACTATATTATAATACGTTACTAGCTTTTGCCCGCGACTTCGTTCGCGTGGAAAGTGACTTTCTGCAGATTTTTGGTATAAAACTATCCTATGTCCTTTCTCAAGTTCCAAACTATGTCCGTACCGAATATCACAGAAATCGATTGAGTAGTTTAGGCGTGAAGAAAAGACAAACAGACAGATTTACTTTCGAATTCATAATAATAGTTTTGAGAGATTGGATTTGAAGCTCCATCCTACATGGATGGAGCTTCAAATCCAATCTTAGTTAGTTTTTAGTAAAGTATAAAGAGTATGACAGCTATACTTTGGTCTCACAGATTTTAACCGGAGTGAAACAACGTTTACGTTGTGTTTTGCTGTGTGAGTGAGTTTACAGGCAGCCTAATCCTCCAGTAGGCTGCGCGACGTCGCACGCTGCTAATGAGGAAGAACCCCTCTGTGGTTCGAAACTAGTAGAGCTTTCTCAATATAGACGTGAGTAACCCGCGATTTTAAGTTAATTTAGCCTAATCCTCCTTCCCTCCATCTTCAAACCGTAAATAACCCAATTCTCAAATCTTTAACTCCCAAAATCGACGGCTATGCATTTGTAACTACTCGATGATGGGATTTCCGTGGGCGGTGTCGATTGCTTACCATCAGATCTATCTGCTCGCCTGACCTATTAAGAAACTAATACCACTCACCAGTCTTCTAACTATCTCTTCAATCTTCTACTCGTTTCTTTTAATGTCCATCCGAGATTCAAACCCCACGGGTTTTTTTTAGTAAAACAGGCTCCCGTTGTAACTGTAGAGGCCGCTATAGGTTAGTAAGTGTACTACACTTTCTATGTAAGAAGATGTAGTTCATTACTAACATCTAAAACCCATATTACAAGATGTTCAGGTTCTACTCGTTCCATTTCATCACAGTGAACTAGAGTAGTGTTGAGTACAATATTCCTGAATGTAGGTCGAGATTACAAGACAAAGCATAATGAGGTAGTATTCGCATCAAGTATGCACAGACAGATGTACTAATTTTCATTACTCTACAGATTAGGACAGACAGCATGAAATCACATTTTGTATGTTCGTTTCCTTTCACGGGATCACAGGATCCCGGACCATTGGAAGGCGTACGAGGGGCAGAGGCCAACTCGCAGAAGCCCGTTGAACAACTTTAATATAAGTGAAATGGGACATCGGCCTTCAATTATCCCTGTATGCATTATAAAAGTGCACGCAAGGACAATCCCCGGTTGATGCAGGACTATTGTAAAATGTAGTCAAAATTGATAGAGTTATGGGTGTGGGTTGCAGTGTGGTGGCCCGGAGAGTGTCGTGGTGGCCCGGAGATTGTCGTGGTGGCCCGGAGGTTAAGGAGCCCGCTTCTCATGCATGAAGGCGTGGGTTCGAAACCTGGCAAGTACCAATGTGACTTTTTCTGAGTTATATGTACTTTCTATGATTATTTAGACACCTTTGACTTATACGGTGAAGGTAAACATCGTGAGGAAACCTGTACTTATAATTTCTAATTATAAGTTTGAAATCGCCAACCCGCATTGAGCAAGCGTGGTTATTAATGCTCAATCCTTCTCCGTGCGAGAAGAGGTCTTTGCTCAGCAGTGGGCACTTATAGGCTGATGATGTGATGATGTTGCTATGGACTGGACACATTTATTGTTATGTAGCCAATATTTTATTACAGTTTTATTGCACAAGCCCGCTGAAAATCGAATAGCCATATGTAGATTTAATAAATAATGAAAACATTGAAACAATGACTGCACGGTTAATGCGGTGGCTGGGCAACCAGCTCCCGTGCAACGTGTCGCAGGTTCGATTCCCGCACGGTCCAACTTTTGGTATGATCCACAAATTTTTGTTTCGGGTCTGTTGTTTGTTTCCACTTCCCTCGGCTAATACAGAAGACAGAATTACTTAAGACTTTAAAAAACATAATGGCTGGACAACCGGAAGCCAAGTCACTAAGCACAGAGGAAATTTAACTAAAAACGAAGTGGGTCTTATGAATAAGCTATTTATTAAGTATATTAGAAATGTTCTACTTATACACTGAAAAGGGGACGCTTTACATTCCATTATACGTTTGTACCTATAATAGTTATACTTTTATTAATTTTCTTTTTTCCCTGTTTGTTTATAAAGCATATTTTGATCGCACGGTTGGCGCGGTGGCTGGACAAAGTGTTTCTTTCTGATTCGATTCTCGCACGAAAAAACTTTTTGTGTGATTCATAAATTGTTGTTCCGAGTCTGGATGTGGTGTGTATGTAAAATTGTGTTGAAAATCCAGAGTAGGGAACGGTTTCTAAAACAAAAACTTCCCGTTCTTAGTTACTTTTCGATGATTTCTTTTCTTGAGTGTAAGGTTGACTTGTAGAGAATGACATATTATTATGGTATTTAGTTCGCCATATATGCAAACTTTTCACTGTGTGGATCTTAAAACACGGACCACTATCACTTCACAGAATAACACAAAGTCGCTTTCTCTGTCACTATATCCCTAGGTAAGCTTAAATCTTTAAAACTACGCTTCACATTATGATGCGGTATTTTTAACAGATAGAGTGATTGAAGAGGGAGGTTTATATGTATAACATCCATTAAATAGTGGATAAATTTAGTATCAGTATTGCACCCGTGCGAAGGCGGAGCGGGTCGCTAGTTAATAAATAAAATGACCGGCCATTACAAAGTTTCTTGTTCATTCTTCACTTTACGAAACTACTTACATTAAACTTTGAATGATCTGCATAGATTCATTAAGATATTAATTTAATTTTAATTTCATTCTTGATTCTCAAAAGTATTATTATTTGATGTTCTTTTGAATGGAAGTCTTTCTAATGATGTAAATGTTAAAGTTGTTTGTTCGTCTGTTTGTCTGTCTTTTACAATACAATGGAGTTATTTTCATCCAACCTAGGGCTGATTTTTCAGTAGTCAGATAAATGTAATCTGAGTTTAGAGTTTTAAACATTTTTTTTATCTAACTATTGAAAAATCAGGCCTTAACAAATTAATAACAAATCCCTTTCATTTTGTTCCAATGTAAGAGAGCTTAATTGTCCATATATAATGTCGCGCTAGCTCAAAGGTTAAGGATCCGCTTGTCATGCACAAGGGTACGGCTTAAAAACCTGGCAAGTACCAATGTGACATTTCCAAGTTATTATAATGTGTAATTTCTATTATTTAGACACCACGGACATACGATGAAGGAAACATTTTGAGAAAACCTGGACTAAAAATTTCTAATTATAAGTTTAAAATCGCCATCCGTCTTGAGCACTTGTGGTGATTAATGTTTTGTTGCTAAACTTTCACCGTGTAAGAAGAGGCATTTGCTTAGCTATGGGCAGTTCGTTAGTCTCGCTAACTTGAGAAAGGCTGGACCAACTGGCTTCTATTATGGTCTTGAAATAGTCCTGGGTATACAGGTAAGGTTTAAGAAGAAATTAAAAAAATAGTTATATTTGAGGCGGTACGAAGTCGGCCGGGTCATCAAGTATTGAATATTTATTGCATCCAAAAACATGTAAAGAAAATAGTAATTACTAATTATTATTGAAAACAAAAGTAACGGCTGTTATTAATTTGATTTTCGAAATAAATAATCGCTATATATTGTTAGATGAACGAGGAATTTGGGTCATCAATATTAATTAAAAGATGTTTCGAATGAAACAAATGGTTTGGAATCATAAATGATAGATCGATTAAAGAATATAAAACATTTTTGAGTTGAAATTAGAAAAGTTGTTTTTTTTCATAAATTGAGGACATGAGTTATTGTGTGACCTAGTTATAATACAAGTAGCAAGTGTGGGAGAGCCATGCTTCGGCACGAATGGGTCAGCTCGACCGGAGCGATACCACTGCCTCACAGAAAACAGGCGCTGATTGCTTACAATCAGGTAATCCGTCTGCTCGTTTGTCGACCTATTATATTGCATTATCTTATTCTTTTATCACGGGATATACCAGCAATCGAGCTGTCTATTCATGATCAAGAGAAGATCTTCGGCCACTGTAAGCGCGGGTCTGCGGACGGCGAGTAAGCGTAGCTCACCGCCCGACCAGAACATGACCCGAGTGCACGGCGCGTAGCGTTCTGCGCGTGCTTCATAGAGCCAATAGACCATCACAGACGGGACTTTACATGGCAGTGATAAGCGCAACGAGGCAACACAACCTCGGCCGAGAGCAGGAGAAGGAACAGAAGGGTTCTCAGTGAGTAAGAGTATGACACTCCCTCCCGCCCAACCCTGGCGGGAGAAGTCGTTTGTTGATTTTATCCTTACAAAAAAAGCTGTCTGGTCATATTAAGGATGGCAAGCAGGTATAACTGGAACCAGACTCGATTAAATCGGCGCATCGGGTACCGCGCTCACCTCAAAGAGCTAGTAGACCACCACAGATGGTGTCCAACAAGGCCGATGTCCAGCCAGGGTTGCGGGTAAACCGCAATAATGTACCGCTACTGTTCAGGTCTGGAGCAAGAGTAGAAACGGGGTGGTTTTTAGTCAGTAAGAGACCAACATTCTCTCTCGCCATGCCCAGGGCGGGAGATAAGTCATTATATGATTTTATTCCTCTCAAAGAAAACCTCTGAGTCATCATCATCAGCCTGTTGTCGTCCACTGCTGGACATAGGCCTCCCCAATTGCCCGCCACTGAGCTCGATGTTCAGCTTTCGTCATCCGCCACCCTGTGGATGTCGTCAGTCTACCTAGCTGGAGGGCGCCCTACACTAAGAGGCAACCTCTGAGTACTTACACCGAAAACCAAATTTGCACAACTACATAATAGCTACGGAATCCAACCTCGAGACAGCTCACTAAGCAGTCGTTTTATGAACCAATCATTACATCACCTTTGCGTAACTTTTTCTTTTAAATACATAAAACGAAGTCTTATGTAATTTCAGTCACCTGTAACAAGTTTACAGTGAAAACAGGCTGTTCATTTGAGTTTACTTAAATACTTCACAGTACGAAGAGTTTGAGAAATAATTTGAAAATCCTATAAATTTTCTTGAGTACACACTCCGGTCCTGTTAATTATGCCGCCCAAAAGTCTTTACGAACCTCTTTTCATTGTAATTTTTACTTTTCAAACAAAAATACTTGAAACTGGAGTTTTAAGTACTTTTCAGAGCCTACTGTGATGAAATGATTCTTGAAATATCTTGAATTTGAATGTTTCATTGTTTCTAACAGTTAATGATATATGATTTTTTTTCAGATTATTTTTCTTGTTGCCCCACATTAGCATTTTCTCCTGTGTTGTGGGTGCGTTTACAAACATACAATTTCACATGCACATCACACCCAGACCCGGAACAACAATCTGTGGATTACACAAAGAGTTGTTGCGTGCGGGAATCGAACCCGCGACACGTTGTGCGGCAGCCAGTTGCCCAGCCACCGCGCCAACCGTGCAGTCGAGTTTTCCTACTGGAGAGTTGGTCCTACTGGTTCTGTTTGTATGTTGCTTTATTTAAACGAGAGATATTTTATTTGGTTCCAGGCAAAATGTAAATTTAAGTTTCTGAACATTACACATATATTTTTTAATTCCCAAAAAACCAAATCAGTTCAGCAGTTTTTGCATGAAAGACTAACAAACATACAACCGTACTGTACACTTCACTCATTAATTGTGAGAGAGCCATGCTTCGGTACGAATGGGCCGGCTCGACCAAAGTGAAACCACGGCGTCACAGAAAACCGGCGTGAAGCAACACTTACGTTATGCTTCATCGTGTGAGTGAGATTACCGGAGACCTAATCCTCCCTCTCCCTTTCCTCAATCCTTTAACCCCATCCTTAAATCCAAGACTCCACAAGAGGCCGGCAACGTACTTGTAGTAAGTCCTTTGGTATTACGAGTGTCCATGGGCGACGCTGATTGCTTACCATCAGGTAATCCGTCTGCTCGTTTGACCCATGATATAAAAAAATACATTCTTACAAACTTACACATTTTTAATATAAGTATGTTAATACGATTAGTAGGATCATCAACCCTGTTACTTATAAAAAAAAATCGTTATATTAGACTACATTTTTAATATCGGAAACTTATAAAACAATTGTAACCAGGTTTGAAATTACATAAAACATTCGAGTTTAAACTAAGGACCAATGGAGGGGCGGTGATGAAATTAACGTAATATTTAAAGGGCAAGTACCGGGCGGTTTATTTTGCGTATAACTATGTTTGCTAGACCTTTGAAGTTAGTAGTTTGTTGCCATCATTGAGGCAAACTTTGATGCTCTCCCTTAACTTACAATCTTTGAACTAAATGTAGGCAGATACAATTACTAAGTATTCAATTCAATTCAATTTATTTATAACAGTTATTAAAATACATAAAATTGCAAACATTAATTCAAATTAAAATATTCAGCTTTACATAAAATAAATAAAAGAGAAATTAACAAAAAGAATACATACTTATAGTCAGAATTTTAATTCGATTCCTGATTTGACATGAAATATTGTCATTTTGTGAAATAATGATACCACATATAACAGTGTAGTGATGGACACAAAAATCGATTAACAATTAGTGAATCAGTTTCAGGAAGGCATTCAAAAAATTACGGCTACCGAATGGTCTAAATGCGTATCCCATGTTGTCACTTGTCAAACAAGAGGAAAAAATGAGTAAGCTAGATATGTTAATTGACAATAAATATCACAGACACAATTCATAATAAATGTTTGAGAAAGTAATAGCGATAGCGATAGCGATGACGGCGACAACTTATAAAATGTCCGTTTTATTTGTCATGTTCCTTCATGATCACATTTTTTATTAATTTTACACACAATTACAAAAGAAAAGTCTCAGATCGTTAATTAATTGTTGCTAAATTATCGGTTCAGAAATATTTTATTTCATGATAAACTTAGTTTACGAGATTAAATTTATAAACGAAAGGAATCGATTCAGAAATATTCGATTTCCATATCGAATCATTTCGCAACGTCACTATTTATTACGTGTCATAACGTTGCAACACTGAAATTGTCAAATCTGGAATGGAATTAAAATTCCGAGTATAGTCATTAATCAATTAGAAGTATGTACTATAAATATGAGGGGCCGCTGGCATACAGACGTATCCATCTCATTACCAGTAGCATTGCGCTCAAAATACACTAAGTACTGGTAGTGCCTCTTCTGTGAGGAATAGTATTGATAATTTATTTTTGGGATTCAGTATACGGAGGTTGTCCAAGCCACAGAAGGTCCGAAACTATCTTTTCTGTGACAACATTTCCTGTGAGGTTTAATCACAACGTTTGCTTAGCGCAGATTTTACAGCTTTCTTCACTAAAGTATAGATAGATAATAAATACTTTTATAAGCCAAATTAATACCTGCTAGGGACTGTAACCGAATGGCATAAAGCCTGCGGCTAGGGGTAAAGTCTTCCGCGCGCGCCTCAAAGAGCCATTAGACCACCACAGACGGGGCCTAAAGGGCTAATGTTCAGCCGGGGTTGCGGGGTAAGCGCAATGAGGCACCGCGACCTCGGCACAGAGCAGGAGAAGGAACAGGGGGGTTTTTAGTTAGTAAGAGTCTGACACTCCCTCCTGCCCGGCCATGGGCGATTTTCCCCTCAAAAAAAAGGGATAAAGTCTGCGGCTAAGCAATGTGTTAGGTGCGAGTTCAAACCCACAGTGGTGTAGTTTTTTTGCCAGGGTTGTGGGGTAAGCGTAATGAAGCACCGCGTCTGTGGCCCAGAGCAGGAGAAGGAACAGGGTGTTTTTAATGAGTAAGAGTCTGACACACCCTCCCTCCCGATCCTGGGCGGAAGAGGAGATTTGATGATTTTCCCATCACAAAACAAAAGGGTTCGTAACCAGACCATGCTGTCAGATGGAAAAAACTGTTTCGCGCACTTTTCTACTGTAAAGCCGATTTAAAATCATTGTGTTTTAGACAGCAAAAAAATAATATAAAACTACAATAAATAATTTCTTTACTAAAAATCTTAGAACTACTTGAAAACTGGTTTACAGATACGGAACCGGAACATCCGTAGATGGTAGTAGGTATTTAATAAATGTTTCTTCACAACTAGACTAGACTGCAGGGGAACTAAGTTTGTCTTTGTCATCGACACCTTTTGAGACAATTGATAAACTTGTGAAGCTAGACGCTAGATCGATAGCAGATCTGACGGGAGACGAGGTCCACGATTGTAATACTATACAATGAGTCTTTTGTTTTGCTTTTGCAAAAGGAAGGTATATTGTGTTGGTGGTTTGAGAATCTTTTTATGTAGAGACTAGCTACTCTCGCGTGGTCTCACCCGCTGCGCAGCTCCTTTTGATCGTAGCGTGATGTTTGATAGCCTATAGCACTCGGGAACATTGTAGCTATCTATCAGTGAACGAATTTTGGCAATCTGACCAGCGGTTCCAAAGATTACCCCCTATATACAAACTTACAAATTTTACCTCTTTATAATATTAGTATAGATTTCTTCGATTGTTTAAAATGTGCTCAGAATTTCCTATGTTAGTTGGATTGATATTTTTGCTTAGTTAGGTGAACATGATGAATTACATGTTTTCTGCTGTGCTAAAATATTATGATGCGAGAAAGAAAACTTTTTTGGTAATAATTAAGTTAAAGACATTTAACTTCTGAGACTACAATTAAATTAATATCAATTTAATAAATAAGAATCTCCATAGGCACTACAAAAATAAAATCCAGGAATTATTTACTTTTGTTCCCCGATATCAATTAAAATTTAAAAAGAACTTTTTGATAGTCAGTTTATTGAAAGTTGGGAGTCTTTTGTAAAAAGGATTAAAAAACGTAGATAATTAATTTCGGCGGCCATTACAATAGACCGTTTGGATTTCGTTTGCATAAAAAAGAAAGCATTCTCTTTTCAAATAATGCCACATTTAAATGCATTATTTAAACAAAAAGATTTGTCGCAGCTATTTTGATTAAAACTCTTTGGTTGATTGTTACGTCTATTTATTAATTTTATAAATTTGGTTTCGTTAAATACGAAATTGGCACAGCTAGCTATATTCATTAAATAAAGTTTAAACAAAAATGTTTATAAAACTTTTCTTTGTATTGGTTACCCAGAGAGTGAAATATCTCTCTCTAGCATGTGTCGATTTCCCCTTTACTTTTCTTTTTTTTTATAGTACCTTTGCCTGACGATGCAGAAAAAAATGATTTGGTAAATTTGATCCAGGAGTTGTTGAGTTATACTCTTACAAACACATTTTACGATTCATTTTTATGTAATATATTATATACTTTATCACATGTTATACCTATATAAACACATTATCACAAACCTACAAAAAATACAGGCTTATAGCTATGTAGAGTGTACAATGGTCGGTCTAATCACACAGGGTGATTGATCTATGTATACAACCACAAGAAATAGTTTGGGTTCGAACAAAGTCAGGGTGCGAGATAGGCAACTCCTTTCTCTTTCATTTGACGAAAAGCGAATTCAATAAAAACTTCACACCAAAAATCAAAATCAAAAATAATTTATTTATATATATATATAACAAGATAAAACATAGAAATGCAAACATTTTGAAACGATGATAACAGCAATGGTATAAAACTGTCGCAGTTATCAGTGCGGAATTAGAAGTCTCTATGTGCTTGGATGACTGATTGTATGTATGTAAGTATGGTTTTTTTTATTGAATAGTTCGGCAAACGAGCAGACGGATTACCTGATGGTAAGTAATCAGCGCCGCCCATGGACACCCGTAACGGAGGAGTAACGAGTGCGTTGCCGACCTTTTAGGGATTAGGCTTTTGGAGATTTAGGGATTGGAAGGGATCGGGGGAGGGGAAGGATTCGTCTCCGGTAACCTCACTGACACGGTGAAACACAACGCTGTAGTTGTTTCACGTCGGTATTCTTTGAGACCGTGGTATCACTCCGGTCGAGCCGACCCATTAGCCGAAGCTTGACTCTCCCACACTTATATAATTTGTATAATTTGGGTGTGCGTGGACTGTGTGTATGTTAGTATATGTGTACGGATATGTGTATGTAAGTTTAAGCGTAATGATGTGTGTGTGAGTTACAATTTCACTAGTTCTTCTGCTTCGTTATGAACGTAATATACATTCAAGTGCATAAGGAATTATGTTCATGCTGTGTTCAATTCACTTAGGAAGCAAGCTCAATTCGCATTCTGTGCTAAACGTTGCTCGACGAGCGTAAACACTGTAGTAATAAATTGAAACGGATTAATGAGTAAATGGAGTACCCGCGTACTCAGAATTTATATATATGAACTATAAGCGCATGTATGAAAATTGATCACATCATATAGTCATCATATATCATAGTAACTTATTTTAGGATACATTTGACCTTAATATTAGAATATGTTTCAAGTTTCATTGCATTCGGCTCAACCAGAGTGATACCACGACCTCAAAGAAAAGTGGCATGTTACAACGCATGTGTGTTTCGGCTTGTGAGTGAGGTTAACGGCGGCCTAAACTCTGACGAACTCCGCTTCCCTTTCCATACTCAATTCCTCCTAAACTACATATTCTCATAAAGGCCGACGACGAACTCCTCTAGAGTATATACTCCTCCTCGTGTCTATGGGCGGTGCTGACTGCTACTGCTTATCATCATGTTAAGTTAGGTTAGTTGTTTATACTTTCTATTGGCTATGTGCAAAGCGAGTAGTGGCGGACACAATTCAGAAATTGGAATCAAATACGGATGATCAGCTGTCGGTTTTTATTATTATATTATTTTTACAGTAAAACTATTAAATAATTTGCACTTGAAAATGACAAAAATGCTAGTTTAATCTTTGGTTTTATGTATATTTTCAAAGAAAATTATGATGTTGTGTAATCTAAATTGTTATTAATTGACAGCTTCCGCAATAGTTGTATACGCAACGCGTCGCCACCGTCGCACACATTGCAAAAAACAACTCATCACAAAATATTGATTAGGTAATATATATATCGGCGCAACGGCAAACGAATCATCATAATAAGAAATATAATAATGTTTCTAAGTTAAAACTATATCAGTATTGCATTGTGACCTATTCCCTAAATAATAAGATGTTCTATTGGTCAAAACAATTACATTCCATTTCATGTGATTCTTAATTTCTAATATCAAGCTAATTTAGTTGCAAAGACTCCTTTTGAATATAAACAAATATTGTAATAAAATATAATAATTTAACACTTAGAACGCCATGTCGGACAATGCTGTCCGACACTAGCGGAGGATTAGCCTTCAACAGTTTTTGTCGGCAGTCAAATGCTTAACTATAAATTTAGATGCAGAAATACAATTTTAATGACTAGCTGGACAATAATGAGATTGTAATTTGATATTGTAAACATCCGGTTTAGGTTAATGTTAGATTATCTGTATCTGTAATCATTCAATTTGTTAATAAGGCCTTCCTTAACTTAGAAATAAATGTTGTTATAAAACTATGATTTAAACTATAAGTCTAGAAGCAAAATTATATTTTAATAACAATAGAATGTCATTAAAGATGTTATCCGATATTGGAAACTTCCGGTTATTCGAAATTTATGCAAGCATTCTATTTACCAAATAAGCTTATCCTTTTTTATAAACGATAAGCTTATTTAAAATGTGCAAAATTGCAGCAATTAACATTAATTAATTTACTATTTATCAAGGTATAATAACTAACATAAAACCTCAAATTGTTTTGTGAACTTGTGATTTAATTATTTATGGTTTTTAGAGATGTTTAGGTTATAAATAGCGTAAAAACTGTAACAATTCTCATTTATGATTTATCACAATATAATAGGTCATGTTAAGCCTCTAGTTATTTTGTAAAGTTTCGACGAATATCATTGATTTCCCCTAAAAAGTAGTATGGCTGCCGCAAGAGGGCGCCACATGTGTGTTCCTGGGGGTGTTCGTCGAAACTAAAACAGGATGCCCGCCCTTTTTCGTTCCTGAGCGGCGGTCCTGAGTAGATGCGTGTTCAGAGGAGGCTCCGTTAAGTGCAAACCTACCTAATGAATACCGATAGGGGTGATCGTGACGTCGGCCCCACCGAAGTCACGATCGCTGATCAAGATGATTTCCCCGGCTTACCGCCGTTATATATCATAACGATATTAAGATATATTTGATACTAACTATAAGATATTTATAACTATATATAATATATGTAAAAAGCCACCAACAGTAAGTTGTGTTCTCTGTTCGTTACTAATCTGTGCCTAAAATACTTAATTAGATTGCTGAGGCGCCCACAATCCGCCATATTGCATACTGCTTCCACTGACAACTGTTCATATCGTAACTTTAATTTAAACTATGATTTATTTAAATATTTATTTATATAAAAATGATAATTAGCCAAAAACGAGTATGTGGATGATAAATAACCATGAAACCTATGTACTTTTAGATTTAGAGTATGAAAATAAGTAAACAATTTGTACACCAGAAATGGTAGAATATATGAAACTACACCACTTTTTTTCTATAACATATTCTATCGTCAGTAAAGCACTGCATGGGAAGGCTATGGTGGACACCTTGCAATCAGGTGGCCCACACTGCTAATAAAAGTTCGATAAAATAGCATAGATAACCAGCCACCTAGGTGGCTAGCTAATGCTATGTTGTTCATATGTTGTTGTATGCATAAATTGTTCTTCCAGAAAAACAATTGATGGATCTCAAAAAATGTTTTTGCTAGCGAGAATCGATCCAGGGACACATTGCGTATCATACAGTATCCCAGCCACGCACGTGAAATCGCAATTTTTCTTATTCAATTCGTATTCAAACCTTTTTATCAGCAAGGTCATTTCATAAGAGCTAGTAACATAATAATATGGAACAAAAAACTGACTGTTTCTAGGAAAATCGAGACTTACTGCAGACTCACTTTACTGATAGCAGCGTCTAGATCCACGGAACGCCTAATTCCACTGTCAGACAAATGACAGATTACAAATATGTCACGCTCACCGACACACGTCAACTTATAATCCAACATGTGTATGCTATTGGTACACGTTTACATGCACAATGTAATACGGTAAAACTATCGTAAGAACAAGAAGTATTTTTTTAAACGTTGCCCCACATTAGGATTTTATCCTGTGTCGTGGGTGCGTTTACAAACACACAATTTGACATGCACATCACACCCAGACCTGGAACAACAATCTGTGGATCACACAAACAGTTGTTCCGTGCGGGAATCGAACCCGCGACACGTTCCGCGGCAGCCAGTTACCCAGCCACCGCGCCAACCGTGCAGTCGAATTGAATTTGACTAGTTGGAAACCCAACTAGTCCTTAATTAACTAACCTTTCTATT